GCGCGGAACTGCTGCCAAGAGCGCTGTGGGGGAACCCCAGTCGACTGGTTTCATCGAGATTGGAGACGAGTCGGACCCCACGGCTGCCGGTTCGGCCGACAAGCCCCAGGTGAAGGCGACGCCGAGGATTGCAAAGGCCAAAGCGCCGCCTGGCAACGCCGAGGGGGAACCCCGGTCGAAGAAGCAGAAGGACCCGAAGCAGGAAAAGATCTTTTGGGAGGACTGGGCCAAAACCCGGAAGATCAACACGAAGATCCCGGCCGAGGAGCAGTGCGAGTGGCTCGAGGTTGAGGATATGGGGCATGTCCCCAAGGTCAATATGGACCGCGATTACAGGCTTGTGGCTATCTCGAAAAAGATGTCGTACTTCCTCCGGGGAGGGGCATTCAAGGACGGGAAACCACACCCACCATTCCGTGGAATCGATTTGTCGGTGGAGTTCGATGCACTGGTCAGGCATTTGAACGACCGGATTGCCAATGTCATGCCCTGGGAGGTGATGATCTGCATCCGGAATAACAATACCCGGAGATTCCGCGTGATGGTTGGACCCCCTCCATTGGGGGAAGCATCCTGGAAAGGATTGCCGTATCAGGCGTTGCGGGTGAGGGCCGTGCAAGGACACCACAACGAGCTCACCAGGAAATACACTGAGCAGGCGATTCTGACGAATTTGTATTCCTTTGACGAAGAGTTCACTGCGGCGAAGTACTTGGGCGGGCAATACCCGAGAGCGGTACGGCATCCCGAGCAGACGGATCTCTGGCGTAGGGGATTCCCTGCTGTTCTCTACCATACCTGTGGCCTCAGGTCTGCCGAGAGCATTATCAAGTTTGGCCTGGTCCCGGGGGGCTATCCGAAGTCGACAGGCAGAGCCCACGTCTACTTCAACCCAACGCCACCCTGGGAGGCACAGATGAGGAAGCTGGCGGGAACGCGAGCCGGAAGGCCCGTCACGATTGCTTTCGATACGGAGCTCATGATGCAAGACGGCATTCGACTCTTCACAAGCGATGAGGCGTTTATGTCTGCCGATTGGGTTGGAAATGCATATATCATTTACGCTTTCCATACCCGCAAGAACGAGTTCCTCTATTTCAATCGTGCGTACCCCGAGCTTCGCAAAAGGTACCGCGAAGCTTTGACATCCGAGCTCACGCCAGGTCCCCAGGATGCCAATCCGAACTTCTTCAGAAGTGAAAACACCCTGACCGCAGAAAAGGCTTGGGGGCATTGGCGGACTGTCGTTGAGGGGACAAGGGACGGCAAATTGCTTCCTGGTGCCGTGACTGAGATTGCCACGATTGATGAGCTCGCTCCCCGGAAGGGGAAGTCGAATGAGAGACCTGCAGGGCCGACATATCAGGTTGCGCCCGCAACCCTTCGACGGGTGCCCGAGCTCTCCAGGGGAGAGAAGGGGCATGGTCGCGGCTGGAACAGCCTTCGGAGCCGCTACCAGAACGAGCCAAAGTGGGAAGACCTCTTTTTCACGACCACGATGAAGAACCCGGTTGTGAAGTGCTGGAATAAGAGGTGTGGCAACCAGCAGATCGACGGCTACCTTTTGTGTCAGGAATGCCGATCAGATATGGTCGAGTGGACGGATGCCCGGATCGCCACCGAGGTTGTGCGCCTTGAGCGCACCGCGTCTCTCCAAAACATGGTCTTCTACTTGGAAGACCTCCAGGGGGGCGGTGGGAAGTGGATCCGCTCCAAGCATCACGCCAAGGAAGGCGACAAGCGGGGAGGAATCTCCGTCGAGGCGTCACTCAGAAAGACGGCAAAGACGCATCTGACCAAAGCGCTGGCAATGGGCTGTGAGAAGGTGTCTGACCGCCTCTCGGTCGACCCGTTCTATGCCTATAATTGCGCTACGCAAGGGTTGACTCCTGAAAGCCTGGACTTCCTAGGCAGGATCGCCCGAGCGATCGTTGCAGACCCTGGCCGCACACGGGAGGAGCGCGATCGGGGAGGGTCTCAGAACACTGGCACGAAGTTGGTGTTTATTCCCAGTCCCAACAAGCGCGACCCCCACGAGTTGAACGTGTCAACGGAGGCTTTCATCGCGCACCATGCGAGATTCTACACCATCATGCAGTTTGCGGTCATGTGTGCCTATCGTTTCATTCCCGGCAATCAGGTGCCTATCATTATTGGGCACAGCGGAGCATACGTCCCGGAAGGGAGCGTCGAGAACATCTTGGAGGTGATGATTAGCTTTATCCGCACCTCCTGGGCAAAGCACGACTCCCAAGGAACGGTTAGCACAGGCGAACTGGAGATCCCGCAATTCTCATCCGGCCGGACAAGAAGCTACCCCGTCGAGGCGAGGAACACTCAGTGGAGGGCAATCACCCGGTCCATCCGCCCCGAGCCCTATGCCAAGGGAAAGGGCAAGGGCAAAGGCAAGAACAAGGGGCGCCAGGACTGGAGCTCTTGGAATTACGGGTGGTCCTATGGATGGGATCAATGGCGTCAGGGCCCGTGGGGATGGTGAGCACCCGCACCAATCACGAAAAGTTTAGCTTTTGTTGCGGTAACCTTTTCAAACTTCATTGGTGATGTCATGTTTGAAACCTATTATCTTTCATCCATTGATGCCGCAACATTAGCTGTGCCATGTTTGCACGCCCGGCGGAAGCTGCGGCCGTAGGTCAATCCACGGCCGCCACCACCGGCTGTCATTTCGATTTTTGCCCAGCGGAAGCTGTGGTCGTGAGATCATCTCCGTTTGCGGCAACAAATATGAATTCAGTTTCAAGCATTCACATGAGAAATCACATGTGTATTGCCCGACGGAAGTCGTGGTCGGCCGACTCGATTGGCATGCTCCTGCAAAAGACTCAACGCATTGCAGTTGCAGCGGCCATTGATGCAACAGGCCCCAAATCACCATGGCTTGCCACTTATCACACTGAGGCTCAACGTCTTCATCGTCGCGACCTCAGAGGACTTTGCTTCAGGCCTGGGGGGAAACATGTACAAAGTACTGTTCTCACCAACGCACCTCTGCAAAGCGGGGGGTGTTGATAGGTAGTGGCATTCCGACATGATACTGGCTCAAGAAAAATTGACTGCCGCCCGTGCTGACATTTAGGTAGATCCCACCTTTCAACACGTCTCAGAGGAGCGAGGTGTTGGGTTTGCGCGTACATGTAAAAGACTGGCTGCATGGGGACACAACAGGAAGGAGACCCACGGTGAATCCAAGAGAAGGACAATTGTTTGACGATCTTTCCGCAGAAGCCGGCTGAATGGACAAAAGCGGAACACGCGTGGCGCAATGCAAGATCACAGATGTCATCGCAGGCATTTGCAGCGCAATAAATGTCGAAAGCCGGACAGCTTGGGGATGCAGAGGATTGCATGATAAACATTCACAAAGTGCCAAACAAACAACATGTTGCACACAATTGTCCCACACATGCACACACACACACCACACACACCACACCACACACACCACACACACCACACACACCATACACACCACACACACCACACACACCACACACACCACACACACCACACACACCACACACACCACACACACCACACACACCACACACACACACACACACCACACACACCACACACACCACACACACCACACACACCGCACACACACACACACACACACACACACACACACACCACACACACCACACACACACACACACACACACACACACCACACACACCACACACACACACACCACACACACCACACACACCACACACACCACACACACCACACACACCACACACACACACACACACACACACACACCACACACACACACACACACACACACACACCACACACACCACACACACCACACACACCACACACACCACACACACCACACACACCACACACACCACACACACCACACACACCACACACACCACACACACCACACACGCCACACACACCACACACACCACACACATCACACACATCACACACATCACACACATCACACACACACACACATCACACACATCGCACACATCACACACATCACACACATCACATCACACACAACACACACACAACACACACACAAGACACACACACAAAACACACTTTAAAACACACACACACACACACAAAACACACACACAAGACACCCGCCAGACACAGACACACCGACACACAAGACACACAAGACACACAAGACACACAAGACACACAAGACACACAAGACACACAATCGTCATACAAGCACAGACTCTCTCTCTCTCTCTCACACACAAACACACACACACTCCCACACAGAGGCATACACCTAGCATACAAGTTTCAAGCAAGTGCAGCTACACCTCCAAAATATCTTCAGATAAAATCAATGTTGCCGGGAATATTGCGGAGCAAGCGCGGGTGCTTGTATATGAGTCACGCGAGGAACATGCGCATGTGCAGATCCAAAGCCGCAGTCCCCCTAGAGCTCAACATAGCTCAAAACAAAGACGAGCCGAAAGCTGCCAAAGACCATCTGACTGAGGGAGACCTCGGCAAACATGAGACCGCATGCAGGGGATACAGGAACCTGCTCTGCTGAGGCGGAGCCCTATTTGTTTGTAGCAAAAGCAAGAACACGCTGAACAAATGCAGGTTTGCGACGCGCAGGTTTTGAGTCCGAAACGTAGGCCCCGATCCATTCACCTTTGACATGGATTTTAGGAAAAAGACATTCCAGACATACCATCTGCCGGATTGACTAGTGGTGCATATGTGTATCATGCAGACATACAAACACACACACACACACAGACGTACATCCATCCATCCATCCATCCATCTATCCATCCATCCATCTATCCATCCATCCTTCCTTCCTTCCTTCCTTCCTTCCTTCCTTCCTTCCATCCTTCCATATCTCCATGTTTCCATCCTTTCGTCCAAACGTACGTACATGACTGAGCACATGCTTGTTGTATATGATATCGCGCGCATGTGCTCTTCTATGTTTGCAAGGGATCCGTCGGATGCCCAGGTGCGACTGGTGGGAGGTCAGAAGGTGGACTTGGCTGTGTCTCTGGAGACGGAACAGCTCAAGGAACAGAAGGACTGCGACCAGAATTTCACTCATGTGAATGGTCAATATTCCCTGGCCTTATCAAAGGGGAATTTGGTTTCTTCCCGTGTTTCGGGAGGGGTTTCCCTTTAAAACAAGGGGGTTACTGTAATCCATGGAAGTCCGCAGGATTTTCGGGTTATCATTTACGCTGGAAAGGGAGGACTTGGGGCAAACACACCCACACTGAAATAATCTTTCGAAACTGGGGTCTCCTAGGAAAATCAAATCTCCCCGAGGGACACTGGGAAAAACACTTTCCGGTGCTTGCTTAATCGCAGGGACACAAGGCGACTGAAACTCAAGGATCCTTGACTGAAAACCATGGCTTTCAGTCTTTCCAAGTACAGAAAAAACCCAAACAGAGCTCTTTCCAGCGCAACTCTTTCACGAAAAGTTGAAGATTGCATAAGCTATCCGTGTTAACCATGCCCCAATTGATTTGCTGGGTTCTGGGGCAGACATCAATTCCGTTGACAAGAAGTGGTACGAACGCACCAATCCAATGCAGATGTCTTTCCGCATTTCACTCGAAGTCACTCGAACCGAGGTCCGACTGATGACCATTAAGATTGGCGTGCATTGCTCCCCCGTTTGGGAGCGGCTCTGCAGGTGGCTCTTTGGGTTACTTCGTATCAAGGGTGCCGATTGCCCTGCTTGCCCATTGCCCCAGTTGCCCTGCAGCGAAGGTTGTCAGTATCCAAACGATACCGATTCGGGGCTCCAGGACAAGTTGACCGACGGCCGGGGCAACTTCATGGGGTTTGCGAGCATCAGCGAGTGCAAGACAAAGTACGTGCCAGGGGCCTTAGTTGGAGCGGTTGAGTTGTCAAAAAATCCGAAAAGGCCGAGTGATATTTCTGGTGGTACCCTCCCACCAAGTAACACAGAACCTGACAGGGGGGGTCCTGACCATTTTCCTTTTAAAGGGACCCCCTGTCAGGTTCCATGTTGATTGGTGGCAATTATTCTCAGACGAAAAGTGACGCTGGTGATGGGCCCAGCTCCGCTTTCAGTGCCATGTGCAAGGGTAGGTCTCCGATCTGCACTGCCAGTTGTCCCCCTCCCGACCCAACAAGAAGCGGTTCTCCCCGTCGGCGCCTGACTCGCAGGAAGCCCCTGGAGTTTCAGAAGCTGCCCAGCGGCGAGCTCCAGGTGGTGCCACTTGGCTGCTGAAACCGGGGGGGGGTCTCCATCTGAAAACAGAAACAGGACACAGAGGAATTCTTGATATTTGTTCATGATGCCCAGAAATTGGTGAGGTTGCTTGGTTTCGACCGGTGCTTCAGTTTAGGAATGTGTTAGGTGAACGATTGTTTGTGCACGCTAGCCTCAGCAGGTCGGCGGCAATGAGGCTGAAGACACAATTTGTCTCTTTTGACCTGCAAGTTTTGGTAATGCGTTCCCATACTTGGCTTCTTTCGGGTCGTCAATGATAAAGCCGCTTAAGCCTTCGCAGCTATTCAGAGTGACAAATAAGGAAGGACTGGGTGAGGCAGGGTTGGGGGACATGTGGACGACCATGATATGGGATGACTAACCAACTAGAAAGGTCGAGATTCACCGATTCCCTTTAGCCAATGTTGTACCACGTGATTTCGGAGCAACCATGCTTCACCTTGAAGAGCTCTCCCAAACCAACATGCCTCAGGCCATGGCCTTTGACTGTCGCTTGATCAGGTCCTAAGGGGGTAGCACTCATGTACCGCATACCACCCGAAATCCTAGCCCCTAAACCCTAACTAAACGGGCCCCCTAAGCCATACCACGCCGTACGAGAACGTTGTTCCGCTGAGGTACGCCGGCCACTGCGACGGAGCAATTGCAGCCAAGGACCGAGATCACCTGACGCCCCTTTTGTAGGAGGTGGGTTGTAGCGCTCGCAGATTTTCTGCCCTCACATCCTCTAATATGGGACCTGGAAGACGATTTTCCTTCAAGAGGGACCCTTTGGTGGGTTATGTTAGTGGATCGGTGCTTGAGGCAGTTGAGACTTTAAAGCGGTCGACCTGAAGTGACTTTTCCGTTTTTGATAGCTAACTATTGGGTACCTGGAGTCTCCTTCCGACCCTTCAAGCTTGTGGCCATGGCCCGTTTTTCCAGGTAATGACACCATTGTACAAGGGTCGTGGAGTCTCCAGGTCCTCTTTGCAGGTTGGCTTGACGGGAAACCAAACGGAAAAAGCCTCCTTTTCGGTGTCCGGCTGGCAGCTGCTCACCGGAGCCAGGAGCTGAAGTGCGCTGCGCTGGATGGGCCATGGCCGAGAGGGGCCCGGGGCCCGAGTCCGATTTGGACAAACCTGAGGATGGCACTTGAATGGACGAACCAGTTGTTTGGTTCAATCCCAGCCTGTTTTCTGGGATGGAGGGTTGGAAAAGGCTGGAAAAGGGCCCCTTTTTGAATGGGTCAACGGGTGCGGAGTGCCAGGCGATATTGGGATGGCAAAGTGTCTTTTGTTTGTTTGTTTGTTTGTTTGTTTGCTTGTTTGTTCCACAGTTTTTTGTTTTTTCACGACAAGACTTCAATAACAGCGACAAAAACAAAAATAACAACGATAAATAATTGGGCTTCATACCACGCCAAATAAAAAAGGTTCATACCATGATAAAGAATTTTGGTCCATACGGCAGTTCCAAAGAACGCGTGTTTTGCACTTTTTGGGGTCTAAAAACAAAATACACGTTCTTTGAAACAGGTCCCCCAGAAAGTTCAGGAGCTTTATAAGGAGCTTGTAACGAGCTGAGCCCCAGAAAGCTCAGGAGCTTTTAAGGAGCTTTGTGAGGAGCTTTATAAGGAGCTTGTAAGGAGCCAATGGACGGCTGTTCCAAAGAACGTGTGTTTTGCACTTTTGGGGGGCCACAAAGCTCAAAACACACGTTCTTTGAAACAGGGCCCCAGAAAGTTCAGGGAGCTTTGTGAGGGGTTCTTCTTTGCCTTCCCTCTTCCTGTTCCTTCCTTCTTCCTTTCTTCCAACAAGGGACGGTTGTTTCAAAGAACGTGTGCATTTTTGAGCCCCATTGGAACAGCCGTCCATTAGCTCCAAGCTCTTTACAAAGCTCTCCATATAAAGCTCCTGAACTTCCTGATAAAGCTCCTCACAAAGCTCCTTGTAAGCTCCTGAACTTTCTGGGCCCTGTTTCAAAGAACGTGTGTTTTGAGCTTTTTGGCCCCCAAAAAGCTCAAAACACGCGTTCTTTGAAACAGGGCCCCAGAAAGTTCCGAGCTAATGGACGGCTGTTCCAAAGAACGTGTGTTTTGCAGTTTTGGGGTTCCAAAAGTGCAGAACACACGTTCTTTGAATCAACCGTCCATTGTTGGAAGAAGGGAAGAAGGAAGAAGGAAGGAAACAGGAGTAGGAGGGAGCCCTGTTTCAAAGAAGGAAGGATCCGCTTTTTGAGCTTGACGTGATTATTATTATGTTTTTCGTAGTAAGAACAATAATTCCGAGTCGTGGTAGGAGCTATTTCTGTCGTGGTTGGAAAGCTGTTGTGAAGCGTGGTTGGTGCACCCCCTCGGCTGTTTGTCGTTTTGGTTTGGTTGCTCTTTACTTAAGGCGCCACCAACAGACAAAAACAGCAACCGGAACAGGCCTGCTTGTTGTTTTACTGTTGATGGAAGAAGCTCTGCACCGCCTAACCAACTGTTTTTGTTTGTTTCCCCGCACCACCGCCCCCCCCCTCCCAGAGGTGTGTCTTTGAAGAACCCTCCCTATCCTTCTGGAAGGTGGTCGACATGATCCTGGCGCTGCCCAAGGCCATGCGATTTGACAACGATGGCCCTTGCTTCGATGGCTCCCATCGTCGTCTAGGGGGACACACCTCGAAACCGGGCCCCGAAGCCTGGTGCTTTTTTTGTGGCTAGTTTGCGACAACGGCCATCCAAGACGAGATGGGTTGGTGTCTAAAAGAATTTGGTTCCCGAAAAATGGGGTTGTCAAAACACCTGGGGTCGGTCAGGGTTACCAGGAAGTGTCACTGAGCTTCCTATGAGTTAAGTCAAGCTGAGTCTCTATAAATGGTGGGTTACTCAGATACTGATGCGTACTTACCACTCAAACAACCAACCCGGGAGTGAAGACCATTCTATAGGATGCCAAAAGATGAAGCCCTGCCCTGAACTGGAATGACTGACAAAGTGCAGAGCTTGAAACCGGACCCATTTCAGAAGTTTGGCGAGTGTTTTCCTCTTTTCATTTGCAGTACTTCATTTACGAGGAAGTTCCAAACATTTTCGAACCAGGTCTTCTTTTCTGTCGCTGTCTGCTGTACCCCAGCCCAGCCAGTCAGAACGGCAGGCTCAGTCAGTTCTGCTGAAGAACTATGACTACCTGCTGGCGCCGGACAACGAGGAGCTGGACAAGCTCGGCCTGGAGCTCGGAGACAGCTTGCGCCCAGTTGCCCAGCCGGGCTGGGTTGGGGGGAACCAAGGGTGACTGAGCTGAATAAGCCAAAACCGATGGCTCCAGAAGGCTCGTCTTTTGAGGCCCTTTGCTATGGGGATGGGAAGGGGAAGCCAAACTGTTCGCAGGTTGCATTTGTTTGCTTGCAGGCCTGCGTGAGTCGATGCTCTTCGCTCCGGACCGGGGTGCATCTTTGGGCCACAGCCACCCGGGAGAGTAGTTCAACGAACTTCAGTTAGCATTGCGAAAGCGCAAAACGCAGAGAAATGTATATACCGTATACCCCTGATCAAAAGGGGAAAATCCTATTTGATGCCACGAACGGCGATGGATTTGGGGGGCAAATTGCAACGAGCTCGCCGAGAACGAGGTTCCCCATGATGAAGCCCTACTTGGGGATTGTCTTCTTTCATGTTTCTGAGTCATAGTAAGTTGCCCGGGAAGGCAAGAGAAAAGGGAAGTTGTGGTTTTGCTTTTGGCTTTCCTTTATGTAAACCAACCGCAAGCCGATTTCCAACTACAAAAGCGCACACCCAGACCAGCACCCCGCTTTTTGGACTCTTGGGTTTTTGGACTCTTGGAAAACGCAGTGGTGGGATGCTGGGATGGATCCCCAGTCGTTGCTTCATGCGGCGCTTTTGCAGGACCTCCGGGACCACGCCGAGAAGCAGTGGCCTAAACCGGCCGGCCGATCCCATAAAGCCGCGTTCCATGTGGATTGGTCCTTGTTGTTTTGGGGCCTCAGATTTCGCGCACGCATCATATCCCCCCTTCCCCTTTTTCCCCCAAGACGCCAACCGATCAGAATGGGGCGCCTCACCCCCGAGACCCCAACCGTTCAGAATGGAGAATGGGATGCCTGACGTTTGAAGGAATGGTGATACAGGATTGCAAAACTAAAGACATCCATGCTTGGTGCGTCAAACGAACGGAAAGCAGTGACACCGACTGAATTGTTTCATGTTGAGTCGGTTCGAAAAGGACCAAACAGTGGCCCGTATATAGATCTGACAGCCCTATGATTAACTGACAATGCTTGACATTGGTCTACCTTGGCTACTGCTCCATGCTCAAAGACGACAGCGTTTGCCATTCAATTGGAAAACACAGTTTCGCAAAAGCTTAGTGGTGGAAGGCCCACTCACAGAACAGCCAAGCTATTGATTGGGGAGGGTCGCAAGAGCAAGACGGACCAAGCAATCTTGTTCCTGTGTCCATGAACAATGCCTGGCTAGTGTCAGCAACTTGCAGCGTGTTCAGTGGCGTTTTTTGGAAGGATCCTTATTTCGATCATGATCTCTAGCACTGATATGACTGTCAAAAAGGAAAACGCGCCCTTTGCGGATGGTTTGAACACAGAACCACCGAAAGACAGTCATTTGGAACGATCATTTTTTTGAGATGCTGGGAGGAGTTTGACCATGTGAGATGAAACTGTGCAAGTTAGGGCCATGCACTAGCTCTTCGCTCAATTTTTGCTGATTGCGTGTTTGCTGTTGTTTTGCCCCTGCTTGTGGAAAGTGGGAATCATCCACACACATATTCTAGCTGACCTGCATGTACCACGGAAATAGCGAATGATACGATCCAACATTTATCCAACTGCGGTTTGCCAAGCGATTCAAATGTCCCCAACAAAATTCGGGCACCCCTGGCAGTTTCTCCCACTTTTCGGAAGCTCAAGCGACCATTGGGCGGGAGTTCCTACTTGTGCAAGCGACCATTGGGCGGGAGTTCCTACTTGTGCAAGCGACCATTGGGCGGGAGTTCCTACTTGTGCAAGCCACTTGGACGGTATGATAGAGGTTGATGTCTCAGTCTTTTAACTGTTCTTTCAACAACCAGCGGTTTTCCATGGACTTCGATTTTGCGTGTTTGGTTCCCTGGGATTTCGGCAGTTTCTGGAAGGAAGAGTCCCTGGAAAGCTGGGGAAGAGACAATCTAGACTTCTTTTGATGCAGTTCACTGGGCACCATGCGCGCCTTGCCAAGGTTCATTGCCACTGCTTTGAAGGGAGACAAGTATCTCGCAGCCCATTGCCGTCGTACGGACCCGGGTGCTCACCATGTTCGGCTTTGTTTCGCAAATTTGCCTGGCGAAATTCGGAAGCCATGGGAATCAAAATGGGCACTGCTGCGAGCTTTCTTTATCAGAGCGGCACCCGAACTACATTAGACTGCCAAACTTTGAGAGCGCCCTTTTTTGGGTGGTGCTTTGGAGGGAAATCAAAGGGAAACCTAAGAAAAGACGACTCAACCACCCAGTTTGGCGGGAAAAGCGGAATCCGCTTTGCGGCTCTCGCTTCAGGACTTCCTTAGAGCACGGGAGAAGACCACCCCCGACGTATCTAATATCGCGATGATGCTCGGCTGCATGTCGCCGTGCTGCTTTTAATATGAAATGGGAGCTGCGGGTTGTGGGAACTAGGAGTTGTGGAAGCTTCGAGAGGGAACTAGGGGTTGTGGCAACAAGCGGTCGGTTCCCGCCACCAGAGAGCCTCCTTCTTTGAGTGAAGAAGTTGCTTTTGAGAAATGCTTCGAGTAGTATCACAGGGGTGGGCTTTTCTCTGCAACTTTGATGCAAACAATATTGTGGGTTGAATGGTTTGAGACTGCTGCATGTTGGAACTATGCGTTTGTTTTCCTCCTCGTCACAAACGGGGTTCTATTTTTCTGGAGGGTTATTATTTGCATTTAAAATTTATTGCCCAAGGAGGAACTACTTGCTGGTGGATGATGGTTTGTTATACAAGTACCAGAAAAGTGGCTTCAGGAACAGGGCTGACATGATTTTCACGAAGCGGTGGACTGTCGACCAGTGAACGTTTTTCCCTCGTCTGATGGGGCTGCAGCGCTGGGGGATTGACTGGCCATCGGTAGATTTGTCGAAAATCTGCCTGCAAGCCAGTAGCTCCAGGAAAGATGCTGATGACAGATGCCAAAGTCAGTCAGATACCGATGCAGCAGATGCCAGTGCAGATGACAGATGCCAGAATCTGTGAAATACCGATGCAACAGTTAGATAGCCAGATGTTGATGACAGGTGCCAGAGACAGGCACCAGAGCAAGTCGGACACGCGCAGATCTGGGTTTGACTGTGTGTGCGGCGCCGCGTCCAGAGCCAGTTAGACACAGATGCGCGATGTGCGAGTCTGAGAGTGTGCGCGGCCAGATACGTGCAGGTCCGGGTCCGAGTGTCTGTGTGGGGCCAGATGCGCAGAGATACGCGCAGGCCCGGGTCAGTGTCTGCGCGGTCAATTCTCTTTGCGGCGCTTTGTTTGTCACTTGGAAAGTCTCCAGCGTGTTGTTCGGCCCACTTGGCCCTTCAGCAGCATGCGAGGCCATTGCTCTTCACGTTTTCCGCTTCGACTTCCTTCTGGCATCGAATTTGGCGGCTTTGCCGATGTCAGCGTATGCAGGAAAGGGGAGTTGGCAAGCCAAAAGTCCTTTCCTTCTGGCGTCAAATTTGACAGCCCTGCTGATCCCCGCGGCAGTTGTTCTAAAAAGGACGAAGACAAAGAAAAACCAACGGAAAGCAAAGGGGAAACCAATAGTGGGTTTGGGTTCGGGAAGCAAATGGAATTGTTTGGTTTCAGCCGGCTAGCCTACAGAATCTGTGGTGCAAATGAGGCTCACAAAGGCGTCCCTTTCCATGACAAGTCTTTGCTTGTTTGTGCGGGGGGGGGCATATGATTTGTGATCAGGCATGGGCAGCTACGCTTATGCTCGTGTAAGCGTGCATAAGCACCTCGGCATACCAGCTCCATACGACCTGGATTTGACCAGGACGTGTTGAACGCAATGCCTCGATCTGTTAAATCCCGTTTGCGTAAGATAAGGATTTTCAAAGGCTGGTTGCAGATGTACAGGCGCGTCCGACCTCGTGATTCTTCACATGATTCCGGGTAGACCCCAGTAGCGCCAGGTTTTGATTGCGACTCATTTCCCTCCGTCCGCTCAGCAGGGTTCGCCTGTTACTTCTCCTGCCTGAAGAGGGATTCAACACTCGCGTGCCTTGCTCCGAAATCCATAGCAAATGGACTGGCTCCGTCCTGTCGGGAGGTTGGAAAAAGCAGAACTTTGCGCAGGAGTTCTCAAGATAATGTAAAGTGGGTGAACCCTACTATGCTTCCAAAGCCTATTTAAAAAATAGGCGTTGTGACAACCCCGGTTTTTTTACGAAGACTATTTTTTGACGACGAGCGGCCGCCTCCGTTTTGGACTGGAACAAGGGCGAGGAAAGACTTGACGCTAAGGCCGCTCCATAGAATCCCGAAGCCGAATATGTATATACATATGCAGCAATATGTTTCACTACTTACAAGGCTAATGTTGGTCTCTATGTCGCTTGGTTTCTTAGCATGGCCATGTAGCGCGCGAAGGTGAACCCTCTTCTGACCATTTCTGTCCTTCTTCTGGCCCACCCCCTTAACCAAACCAAAGAAAACTGGGACAGCCAACACCCCTCCCATCACAGCAACCATTCCAGGATGCGGATGTTGATCCTCTGGTCGGCCAAATTTGCCTGTTCTACTCCACAAAATGGTGGCCAAAAAATAGTGGTTCTACGCCACAAAATAGTAGTTCAACGTCAAAAAATAGTGTTTCTACGGTTTTTCTACGGTTTGTCTACGCTCGCGTTGCTTTTGGACCTGTGTGGAAATTGGAACGGACAAAAAGCAGCAGACAATTACTTGTTCGTGCCACCTGCGCAAATTGCAGAGGACAATTCTACAATTTGCTAGAATGAAGGCTCTGCCTACGCAAAGCTTTCAGCAGGTGCGTTGCGCAGACACAAAAGGGACCCGAGGACCCTATCAAGAAGTAGTAATTTAACTTTGCTGGCAGAGAAATATGTGGCTCCCAAGGCTACTTAAGAGGTTGCAGTAGCAGGCGTAGCTTTCAAACAAAAAAAGTAACAACCCAAAACGAACCTCAAAGGCAAATGTCAAAAAATAGGGGTTGTCAATGCAAAACAATAGGGGCAGAACAAGCCCTATTTAAAAAATAGTCGAGGAAGCATAGAGTGAAGGGATTACTTTCAAAATCCCTGGAGAGTCAATTCTGTTTTGCACGCCCCTGGCCTGTTGACTCGCGGAATTCCGGGTTGAGGAAGCTGAACGAACTCCTGGAGCAGCCCTCGTCTCAGTCGCAGATGCGCCGGAAGCAAGTCTCCGTGACCCCTTCAAACATGCGGTCATTGGGGTCCGAGCTCATTTTGGAAGGATCATGGAACGCTTTGGAGTTGGTCATGTTGGTCCCCGGTTTCAGCCACCATTGTTAGGCTCCGATTTTGACAAACCCAGTTGGCAATTTTGTTTCAGCTGTCTAACTTAGGTGGATGCAGAAATGGGTCTATTATCATTTGACACAAACATGCGGCCTATGTAACCCGTGGCTTCTGAGGGAGTGTTGTCCTACCATGCAAACTTCCGGTATGGGTGGGGCGAGGGACGCCCTTCGCCCACCACTAGCCCGCAACTCCCAGGGAAGGCTTGAAGCAGGCTGGGGTTCGACGAGTTCGGCGCGACAGGTGTCGCCCATGATTGGTTCCTCGGTATGTTCATTGTTGATGATCAAGTTAGTGAAGACAATGGAAAACGAACGGCATATGGTCGCTTTTCTCTCGCTTGCCATCTTTTCCAGGATTCATTCTGCCTGCCAGCAAATCTTCCCCAGAAATGAAACACCCAAATGCAGATGAAGCACCACTAGCTTCCGGGCATTAGGGCAGTCGAAAAGCTCGGCGAATCCGCAGGTGTTCATCGCCACGGATGCGCCGGGTGATCTGCGGGCAGAGCTCCAGAAGCAGGCGAGTTGTCCAGCCGTGGCTGCGGTTGAGCCCCGAATCGTTGCAAGAGGAGCAAGGATGTCCTTGATTCGAAACGAGTCTACGGCTGGTTGTTTTTGGTAGTTTACTCACGCAATCCACTTGGTGGTTTGTATGCGATGCGGGGGATCCCCCACTAGTGACTTGCTTCACGTGAGCCTGCAACTCGCGAGAGGTCATGGCTCCTGTGATTTTCTACGTCCGGGTCTCAACGTTCGTCCCGAAGTCGCCAAAGGAGGTTTCATGCCACCTGGAGTCTCCATGACCCTTTAAGGACAGCGTCATCGCCCCCAGAAATGGGTCATGGCCGCTTTTTCTGAAGGTCAAGGAGAGTCTAGGCATAAACCTCACCTGAAACAGCCGACGTTTGAGTCCCGTTCTTTTTTGGCAAATGCTCCCATTTGCCTTCCCCCAAAAGCGGGGCAAAAACAACCAAGCTTCCCCCACTTTGGTTGTTGTTTTTGTTGGGGGGCGGGGGGGCAGAATAATTAAAAGCCACCGACCAGACCATTTGTTGGTTTCGGCAACCATGGGCTGGGGTGCCACGCGCAAAGTGCACATCTCTCAGGATGCCGATCATGGCGCAGTGGAATTCGACCACAAGGGCAAGCAGGTGATGGGCGGCCAATTGCGGATGAGCACAAGTTGGGCTGGCTGAAGTTCTATGAGTATGTACTGGGATAAACCACCTACCAACTGGTGCCGGATTTTGTCTATCTGCAGTCGGATATGGGTCAGTCTCCAAACAGGCAGTTACCCTTTGTTTGCCCTTGAAAGCAACCTCAAAAAGGGTGCCCTCAAGGAAGCACGCACAAACACACAGGTTAAACCCCTTAAATGGTTGAACCCCTTAAATGGCTGGGTTGCCCTGCGCGGGCATGCGCCTGCCGTATCGCCTTGGCTCTAGCAAGCAGTAAGCCTGATGTGGCTGCTTGGAGCCTCATCTGAGATTGGCTTCGCTTTGCTCGGGTTTCTCATGGTTTCTCAGATTTGTGTGTTCAGGGGCCTGGCGGGCTAGTGAGGATGGTTTGCATGTTCACAACAGGTTTCAGGTGCCAAAGGTTTGTGTCGTGTGCTAAGGAATGGCCGGCTGTGCTGTTTGGCTACTTGGCACTGCGATGACTTTGCACGGTTTTGTTTGCATGGCTTGCCGTCATGGCCGGGGGAAGGACCCAATGGCTGCAGGTGCTGCGGTTTTGTTTTGGGGGGCTTTCTCCACAAGGACTTCCCTCGAAGAATGAGGGCTCCTTAGATTCTACATTGGTTTATTGCAGGAGGAATGTAGCCATCAAGGCTTTGCAACTCGGCCAGCCGGCATTGAACAGTGGCCAGCCAAGGCGACTATTGCACTGTTCCCGACCAGCGACACGACCTCAGATTCAACAGCCCAGAAGTTCAGATACCTGCTACCTGAGCGTAAATGGGTTCTTCCATGAAGGTTCGTGTCCGGTTTGTGATATTATGTCAATGTGCAATATCTTGAAACTCCTAGCAATCACTTAGGTTCCAAGGCCGGTGTGCCGATGTGAGTTGGTTCATGGTAGAAGCAATTATTGGTTCTCTAGTTTGACAAAAAAACATCAAACTTTGTCGATACTCAATCACGCTCAGTTGTCAGGGGCCCAAAAACGAAGGATCAAAACGCTGAGAGGTTCCTCCCCCCAAAAAAGCAAAAACACAAATGCCTCGGTCACCGAAGTGTTAAGGGCTCAATGGCCATCCTATGGCTCAGCTTGCTATGAGCTCGAATCTGTGTTGAATAGATTGCGAAAACTAGGGGTAGGTTCCCACTTCTGCGATAATTACCAGAGAGCCTCGTCCGCGAATTGAAGAATGTGCTTTTGAGCAGTGCCTCCAGCGGCATCACAGAAATGCAAGTCTTGCTAAATCTAGCATTGGAGCTGTTGGTCGCCGAGTGTTCATCCATTTTTAGTGATTGTTCCAAGAGGCGGACCTTTTCTTGCTGAATCTTTTGGGGAAGCGAGAATTCCCGACATCCAAGCATCGCTTGCCTCAGGACAGGCATGGCCTCTAGAGAGTTGTTGCAGCCAGCTCTGGCCCTTTTGCGGGCCGGCAGCTAAGCTGTCAACTCACCACACCACACCACCGCACGGGAGCCAAGCTAACCGGAACATCTCACATACTGAATTGATACCTAAAGTCCACGAGTGAGTTCTTTCCACTTAGCTATCAAGCATCAAAATGAATCTTGGCAACCCTGGCTATATCGAACACCGGCTCCATCAACAAAACAAGCACATCGAGTACCCACGCGTTCTGAGCATAGACACTACAACTGCACGGACACACAAACACACCCAACGCTTCATCCTGTACAACTACCTACCAGGACCGATTTGGGCCGATTGATGCATTGTGCCCATGTGAATGCATATCGACCGCGAGAAAAACATTCACTTGATGCTTCAATTTAGTAAGGAGATGACACTGGGCACGCTCTCCAAATTATCAAGAATTCACTGTGGCTCATGTCACATGTTGCTGTTGCCTGCTTGCAGTGGGCAAAGAGCCACACTATGCTACAGTGCTCATGTGGTTCTTCATTCGCGGTAGTCTGCTCGCGTCGTGCCAGGACAGGCAGTGAGTGAGCTCCAGCTAGTTGCAACACAACCAGCTTCACAGCATTCACAGCTTCACAGCTCCAGTCAAATCCCATGGCAAGGCAAGCAGACAGCCTGAAATCCAAATTTGCACTTAGATTCGGCGATGATTTAGGGAGCTCACACATGGCGGGTGTGTCTCTGGAGGCAGGGCAAGCAATTGCATGATGTGTGTGGCAGTTGCTCAAAATGAGTTGCGGCTCGGCTTGCATTGCAGTTTGGCTTGATTGCAATATATGGCTTTCAATGGGGAACACCCTCTAACATGGTTTGGTGGACATACATCCCCTGTGAATGATGTCCACAAAAGGGTCCAATAAATTAAACAATCCTACCAACTTCGCACCAAGAGGGAGGATGCCGAGCTTGACACACGGTTGTTTGCCCCCTTTTTTGCGGGTACTGCTTTGAACAACTGTGTTTTTATCCGGGAACTCTCAGCGGACAACATTTGAGTCTCCCTTTGACACATCGCGGAGGCCACCATGATTCCACCCCTGCCGACGCCCTGCCTTTGGCAGGCCTTCCGCGAATCGGGTTTACCAGAACGGGGTTCCCTGGGTCAATGTGAATCGAGGTCGGTTTAACCCCGATTATTTTCAGGTCCAAGCGCAAGTGAGAAGAGTTTCTGACAGTTTTACACGTCATCCGGGGGTGGAGACTTAAACCTTCGAATGCAGGGATGCACATCCGAGAACATGCGAGGATTGATTGAAAGAGTCGACCAAGCTTGCCATGTTTCCCCAACAGCAACAGCTATGGGGTCACTCTTGCGCCGGGTTTCAGGGAGGTTATGTGGAATGGGAGTGAAAGCGAATCCCCCAGCTACCGATCGGCGTCTGGGGGATTTGAGCTCGGTCGACAGGCCAAGCGATCGGCGCGGGTCGATGTACCCTTCCCGGAGCTGCCATCGGACGCTGACACGGAGCCTGAGGGTCAGCTGTACCATTTAGGTCATGAGGTTTCGAACCTGTTCTCACTCCCTGACTCCTGGACTTTACAAGTACCTTTGGGGAGACCGTTTTATGGGCAGACCACAAGTTTGGAGCTTGTTTTTGCCAATCCACTCAGGAAGTGAGAGCTGCACCGTAAAAACCGTCTCGTGCTCATCTTGGTTGGTTAGTTGTGATTAGCACAAACAGCACAAGGGTTTGTAGTCTTGCCCACCATTCAAGGTACACATTATCTTGTTTGCCGAATGCCCAGACTCAAGGTCCCAGAGTTCCATGTTGTGTTAACTGCCCCCAACAGTTCGAGGACAATTTAGGACTTAAACAAAAGGGCTGATCATGTATTTTAGCGCAGGAGCACTGGGTTCAATGCCCTGAGAATGATTTCTTCAGATTCCCTGCAACATCAGCAGAAGTTGACACTCCCCAAGTATAGCCCTGTCCAGAACCGAGAAATTGATGAAACGACGACCCTTCACGGAGTCCCACTTAAAAACTGGCACAAAGAAACGCAGTTTGGCAATTCCAACGGTTGGTCGCGTGGGGCGAAAAAAACAAAAACATGGAAAAACAAAAAGAACAAAAAAGGCAAGGGATACTCTTCAACCATAGCTGGGAGGACTTCTTTCGTACGAAGGCCGAAGTATAAGTATGCCATTCACTTAAGAGAATCACGATTCGGAGGAGAATATGGGGACCCCACCAATTGTTCTGTTCCTGTTGGTGTCCCTTTAAATCAAACACAACGATGTTCCCCAATAAGCCCAGGTGACATCCCCCAAAAACCCTTTGGAACCCTGCCGGAACCCCAGCCCGGAGCCTCTTCGAGCCACCCCCAGAGCTGGTTTGGGCGGAGAGCCCAAACCTTTTGGTCGCAGAAAACGACACACCCATATGGGTGTGGGTCCAAATTCAACCACCAGGGGACCTCAGGTTGTTGTCCATGTTTCCATTTACCAGGGTTCCCCAAATCCCCCAAATGGGTATTGATTCTTGAACCACCGCTGCATGAGTTTGTGTTTTAGAGAAACCGATAGTGAAACCACCCATTTTGAGGTCGACACCCATTTCCGGATTGCTGGTTGCAGGAGCTGCCATCCTGGCGGACCGGACTGCACAGCGCCCGGGGCCGAGTAGGCCTCAAAGGGATTGGACCCTTTGACCATTTGGGCGTTTCTTAAACTAAGCCCCCTCCCCCAAATCAAATAAAGCCAAAATGGCGGGTTTCCCCATTTAGTTGTGGCTTTGCTGTAAAAACTGCCCCAAACGAGGGCAAGCTCAAAAGACGCCCATTTTCCCCCAAAAAACCATGTTTTTGGGGTCCATTTGGGTGTCTAGGTGGAATGGGTTTGAGAGAGAGCCTCAGGAAGGGGTTCTTCTTGGGTGGAAACTAGGACCATGGACCAGAGACCCCGCACCAACCTGAGCCTAGGATTGGAGACTGCGCCTGGGGTCCACCGTCTTCGAGATTCACAAGGCGAGTCCTTTTGGTGCACGGGGACGTGCCCGCGCAGAACGCAGCAAGGTGACGTGAGTCGGTTTGCACAGGGCTTCCTTGGAATGTTTGTTGGCTTTCCTTCTTCTAAAAGCTGCTAAACAATGGTCCCGACCAATGACAATACTGTACTTGTATAAGATGGTTCAGCTCGCCATTCTTTGCCAACAAATTAGCCAATATCAAACCTTTCCTCTGGGGGTCGCCTTTGTTTTCTCTCCCCGCGTGGCTCTGAATTTGAAGGGATGGAAGACCCCGAAAAAATGGGCTGGACATAAATCATGCAGAGTTGACGTCGTATGGAGATCAGTGGCCTCAGGTCCTCACAGGCCATGGTCCTCGTGCTTCGGCCTTCCTCTGCAGCGCCGGCGCCTTGCTTCGGGAAGCCGCTTCGGTAAACCCGGCAGTTCCGTTGCATCTGAGTCCGGTCAAAATGGGGCCCCAGATTCCCACGGCCAAAGCTATGGTTTCAACACGACAATTCGATGGTCTGAAAAGAAGGATCCCTGGAAAGAATGGGGAAGCTTCTCCTGGAATGGTCTGAAAACACAGGTGTCCAAAGGGGCTCATGGGCCTTTCCCCGGGCCTGATGACAGACTGAGGCCTTTACCACAGGGCAGCAGCTCGCCGCAGTACAGGCACGGAAGATGAAGCCGACGTGAAGGAGCCAAGGCTCAAATATGGCTGTGGGTCAAAACCATTGGTACCATTTTGGGATAGGTGCACCACCCGTTTTAGTCTATTCTAGTGGGGATTGGGATGTTCACTGGGGGTACGGGGTTTTGACCCACGGCCATATGATAAGCCCTCCCCCACCCCGAATGTTTATTTGTTGCATGGGTGCATGTATGTGGAAAGGGAAGGGACTACGCCCTCCCATCCACGTTGGTAATTATAGGTTGACCCCGGCTCATATGATCAATCATTGTTTTTCGGGGTAGCAACCTGCACCAAGGATTTCATCAATAGGAGGCCGCTAGGAGGCCTTCATTTGGGGGTTCTTGACGTGGGGGAACACACACACACACACACACCCACCTCCTTTGTGAAGGGAACCGCTGCCCCCGTGCCAGGCCTTCTGTGGAGCCGAGGAAGGCGAGACAGGCCGCCCGGGCTGCCTGCGTGGCTATGCTAGTCACGCCCTTTCGGCGGTGAAGCTTGAACGGACGCCCTGTGACAGTTGCGATTTTTTGCACCCCTATTTATTTGCCTTTGAAAGGCGACCTTGTTCCCCTCACAAATTTTGGTGGGGGTGGTTCTAACATAGGACAGGGCTGTTTCTAACATAGGGGTGTCCTCTTTTCGCTTTGGATTCACTCAAAACTGTGAGAGAGGCGGCCGCAGCGAGACGGACCTGTCCCACATCCTTCCAGAGCAGGCCGGGCCACTCTTCTTGCCTTGTGGGTGCCTGAAGCCTCCGTGACCCTTTTGGAACGCGCCATTGCCAAAAAGAAAGGGGTCATTGCCCTACGTTTGAAGGGTCGTTTCAGGTTGATTCCAAGGGACTCCGCAAGGCCAGCCCCATTTTTATGGTCCCTGAAATTTGGAGAACCCGTTTGGTTTTGTTCCTTTTGTTCCTTTACACTTCAAGTCTTTCTTTGAGTCCGTCAGAAGTCAGCCGTGGTTCCCGGACTCCAGGATCCGGCTTTGGAGACTTTGTTGTTTTGAGGCAATGGGTTCGCAGTCTTTGAGACATGACTGCAATGTCAAGGTCGGGTGAAAGAACATGGCGCCCTTAGCTTTTTCTTTTATTGCCTGCGAATGTTGATCCGTCTCAATTGTAAAGTTATGTTTGTGTTGTTGCTGCTGTTTGTGTTGCTCTTCTTTTGCTGTGGTTGCCGCTGGCGATACCATTGTCGTCCTCGCTGCTTCATGGAGTTACAGCTGCTTTCGTCAATCATCGAACTTAATTGAAAATTATTTACCCATCCCAGGTTTGTGACATGCAGCTAGTTGGCAGTAGAGGGAAAACTGATATATTCTTGAGCGAAGTCACATGGTGTATTTTTTGGAGAGTACCGGGTGGTTTCCAAGAGAGACTTAGGGGACCCCACCGACTCTGGGCATCCGGCGCCCTGATTCGGAGACAAAATCCGCATGTCAGCATCAGTTGTGTTCGACCCGAGGTTTGGCCATTCTTCAGTCAAGCCCTGGACTACATTTACTCAGAGGCCGGCTGAGAAGACATGTGCAACTGATCCAGAGAGCCCTAGTCAGAGGCATTTTCCAAGAGATACATATACATACATAGTTTTTCCTTACTAGTGGGGGGAACACCCCTGATTGCCAGGATGCATGTGCCAGGTTGTCATAATCTGGGGGGGGGTCCGAGACTTTGTTGACATTTTACAATGTGTGCCGCCTTTTTAAGGGATTAGGGCTCATGTTCAATGTCTTTTTTGTTTAAGTCCCTTTTCGTTGGTTTTGAAGGGAAACCACAAGGACCCCCATCATCTTCCGGAGCCATGCGTATGGTCACCGATAGCTCGCTGATAGGAGCTCGCGATGAACGAGGAGAACGCAGTGCCATTGCTTCGGTGTGCTTGAAACTCAGTTCGCTGAGCTCCTCAAATGAGGTTTCGACCATTTGCAACATGAGTGTTTCTGTTGGGCTTGGGACACCCATTTTGGTTGGTATTCAAAGGACACCAAAAGGAGGCCACACTTTTTAGGGGGCCACTATTTGGAGAACCCCCAACAGGACCCTTTCCACCCGCAATTTGGGATGGGTAATGTTTAGGCGGATAGTCTGAGCACCCTGTTGAGTGGCTTAATTCAAGACGCTCTACAGGTTTGTGAAGCTACGGTGCTGTTCGTACTGGTTCACCGGGCCCGGCTTCAGAGAGGTTGAAATTTGGTCAACTTTGAAGTTCCCTACCAGTCTTCATGACAAATGGGATCATTACCCAAAGGAAAGGGGTGGCCCCATTTTGAAGGGTCATGGAGACTCCAAGTAGACCAAACGCTTGCTGCAAGCGAAACAACACACGCGCCCGCCTGGTCTCGCTGGACTCTGCGCAGGGACTCGCGCAGCGGCGTTTAGTTTAGCATTTCTGCCTGCGCAGGGGGATGGCTATACCCAAGATACAACCAGAATGCAGTGGCCACTCATGGATTCATGAAGTTGCTGAAATTGCCAGATGGCTGTGCGTCAAACCAAGGGTGCCATTTTGGGGTAGGTGCACCACCCATTTCAGTGTATTTTGGTGGGGATTGGGATGTTCACTGGGAGTACGGGCTTTTGACCCATGGCCATATGAGTGAGGGGGGCAATGGATATTGGCCCTGGCCCACCTGTTATTTTTGTCGGCCGAGGCTGACGCGCTGCAAATCCGCTCGCTGTTCCTTCGCTGCCAAGGCCTCAGTATGAGATGCGCTTCTCCACTTGAAGCCGAACAGCGACAGAAAACATATTTTCCTCTTTCCAGGCGTGGAAGTGGACAGTTGGCCTTTTCAAGCGCCCTGCCCTCTTCCAAAACCCTATTTTCGGATCAGCTATCAGCTTCCATGATTGGTAGAACGCATGAATCCATTCAAGCCCCATACGTAATACGTAGGTGCATGACATCAAAGCTTATTTGGCTGGATTTTGGGCACGAGCAGGGGTGGTTTTTGTTGTTTCCCAAAAAGCAAAGCGAAAACGAGCATACCGGAGGTTTCCATGCACCAGTCAGATTATTGTTATAGTCTATTTATGGTTTCATATTCTTGTTTTCAGGGTTCGACAAACGGATTTGGGGATCTAAAGAGCCCACCCTTTGGCTCAAAACTTATCCACCGGATCGCCGAGGCGTCGAAGGCATCAACGAGCTGCTGTCCACTTCCACCGCGCCCAGGCGAAAGATCTGCGGCGGTCTGAATGGGCGAGACCTGCACGACACTTCCCCAACTGTTTCGGGGGGTACTCGTAACTCTTGAGAAGTATCCGACGACAACTAGAAGTGCCCCATGTGCCAGAAGAAAAGGGATTCCAAGGCAGAAATAAGTTTTTTTTGGGGGGGTTCAGGGATAGGCTAGATACTTACGCGATCTTGCGCGTTATTGTATTGTGACCACCCATTCTATTGAGCCCCGAAGATGCCTGCCATTTGGGGCAGACAGATCAGTCGCCGTACACAATGCTTGATTTGACAAATTGAGGGACGGTCACCAATTAGCTTATACGCCCCCAAGACGGAGACGCCCACAACCCAGGGCCCCTATGTTTGCCGCTTGGCTGCCAGCTTGAGATGAATTGATATGTTAATGTGTCTTGCACACCTGCACGTGCACTGATGAAAAACAGGATGGCTCTATAAAATAATGTCTGCCATGATTGGCATTCATCTGTGTGCTCTCGTCCAATCACGTTGCGCACCCTTGCATGGCACAAACATGCACTTTTTCGCTGGCTGATTTAAAGGGAACCCCTTTGTGGGAGTCGATTGAATACCCAAGAATCTTGGAACCTCGAGGCGACCCCGTCTAACGCGGTCAGAACTCTTCCACAGGGATTATGCGGGGAGAATAAGGGACTCCCTATAAACATCACCCCTAGGTAAACTCACTTACCAGCAAAAGGTGATGCTTAAAACCAGCAACATGGGAAACAAAGTTCCCTGGGTGATGTGCAGGAAACCTGTCAGCCCTGCATCCGCGCGAGCTTGACGAGGGTTTAATTTCTTGATTACCCCAAGCCTGCTGTGTTTCAGTCCACCTTAGTCCAGAAAGTGGAATGCGCCAGGATACTTTCAGACAGCGTGGCCATACTTGGTGGGCCCTTGGCGGACCAGCCGGGAACTCGGAGTCTGCCTTCTGGATGAGCCAACCGCTTTGGTCTCGATATCTGTTTTTGTTTTTTTGTACCGTGGGGTGGGGTGGGCGGGGGGGTTGGGGGTAGTGGAAACTATCACGGAAAGGGTTGTACCCCACGACCATGGAGGCGTGGGTTCAACCGCGTTTTGGTAGAAGCTTATTAGACTTGGGGACGTCCCCTTGCCAGAAACAGGTGCGCGAAAAGCCGCCCTTTTTGGATTCTTTACCATGGGTTTGCGCAGACTGTCATACCAGGAACTAGACCACGGCCCCCTTTGAAGGGAGCCACAATGGTGTTTCACAACAGTGGTTCCAACATGTTGGAACAGGCAGTTTGACCGCAGCTATGGCATCTTATCATGGCCTCAGGTGGAATGAGCACCTTGTCTTTCCCCGGACACATCAGCTTGAGTAAGGGTACCCTTTCAGAGAACTGAAACAAAGGAATCCAACGGGAATCGTCAAGGAATGGGTTGGGTGGCCCCTATTTCAGGAAAGATATTTTCATTTGTGAAAAAGGGTTTCTGTTTTTTGGGGGTTGCCTTTGGAGTGATTTTAAGGAGAAAGCATTCGGATACAAGCCCAAATGGCAGAAGATACTACTAGGGTATGGCTTTGTGGCCTCCCCTACTGCGTTTGTGATGGCAATGTTGTCGGTTACTTGAAGGGGGTTCTCAAAAGCAAGAACCCTAAGAGTTCGGGTTGTTTCCCTTCTGTCTCCCTTCAAAACCATCCAAGGGGTCCGAATCCCATGTTGAGAAACCTCCATTTGGGTATGGCACCCTCTTTCCAACAATCCCGAAAAGAAAGGTAGTCTTCCAACCATGAGAGTTGGAGGGTCAAAATAGGGCTTCCCCGAAAATGGATTCGGTCTTCCTTTTGGTTCCCCAACAAGGTTGAATTCCTTCCAGCACCCGCAAAGCAACAGCTTTTTGCCATGTCCAAAATCCCAAGCACTGTCCAAACAGCAGTACTGTGGATGGACGAAATCCTGCACCACCCAACAAAGCTTGGGATGATGATTCCCCTCTAAATACCAACAAATAATTGTTTTCCGTTGTTTCAAAGTGGTGGATTCCGTCCATCCAGCGTCGCTGGGTGCTGGCGTTCGATTTTCCTCGCGGTTTCACGAGGATCATCAAGGCGGCCTCGGACGTGATCTGCGAGCACTTTGACGCCTACGTGGTGGAGGACCTGCGGCCGCGACCTCGAATGGGACACGAGACACGCCTCCTCCAAAACGATTGTATGTGGATGCGGTGTTTTTTCTCTTTTTTCTTTGTGTTTGTTGTTTTTGTTTTTTGTTTGTTTCTTTTTTTTTTGGGGGGGGGGTTGGGACCTAGTATTTGTTGTCTCTTAACCGAAACAAAAGGACAACCGAAGACATTTTGGGGAGTTCTCCAAGAAAAGGCATTCCCATATGAGGAGCCAAAGTTAGGGGTCCTTGGTATTGGCACGTACCGGCTAACCGGCGGGACCTGTGTCCAAGGGTTCCAAAGGCAAAGGAGAAGGAAACAACCCTTTGGGGTTCGAGTTTCACTAATATGGATATGGCTCAAAATTACTAAGCTCGGGCTACGCAGGTGTTCGTCATTGGTTCCATTTACCAAGGTGCTATTTTGGTACATGTGTTTGAGCCACAGCCTTGTTGTTGACGGACTAAATATGAAACAGAACCTGAACAATGTCTTTTGTTTATTCTGTGCAGCCAACTTTGGGCAAGAAGGAAAGGAGTGTTGGCAGAAATTCCTTTTTGACGCTTCCCTTTGCATGGCCGATGTGTAAACGTGCAGTTGATTCTCTTCGTGGTCCCGATGGAAGTTTGACATGGGCAACAAAAGTGGGAACAGTCCCAACCACAAATTTGCTTCTTTACCACGGGCTTTTGGGTGGACTCCTTGCACAGCAGGTGTTGATTGGGACTCAAATGAGTCCAAACCAGCCGCTGAACGGATTGTTTTGAGGATTTCAGGCTGCTTATTTGGAGAGTAATTCGGCAGGAAAGGTCGTGTCCAACCCTAACAAGGTACGCATTCCACCTTTCTAGATCCCGCGCCGTGGTTTGCTGAGACTACGCGTACTTTCAGAACCCGTCTCTGCATCCACGTTTGCTTCCTTTGCAAAATATCAAAGAAGAAGGGGGGACACTCTCCTGCTTGTCAATGGGTGAGTCACATGGAGGACTGAGCCCCGTGAACCTCACACTAAGGCGTTTGCCGGCAAGTGCAGTGGCACTGATCCTGCGCCGTGATGATATCTCCATCATGCACGAGAACGAGGCGCCGGTTTCGCACCGGAGAGTTGAGGCAGGCCAGTGCAGCAGAAATCAAAACTGAGGGGAAGGGACCTGTCATGGAAAGCAGAAAAGGTTTGTAGGAGCCGTTCACCGGTGGTGGAGAGGTGATACACGAGTACGAAGATTCCGTCTTCTTTGGGGTTAGTCAGGGACGGTTCCCACCAAAAACAGGCACGGACACAGATTCTTTACATTGATGGATACATAATTTTGATACCACGTGTTGATTGTGACCCATTTGGCACAGCCATTGGAAATTTAGGGTTTGGGTAGTTTGGATGGCAGTTCCTGCTTACGCAGTGAAAGATAGCCCTTATATAAACTCTACGCTGTTAAACACGTCAATCAAAGGTAATGAAGAAGGTGTCCAACAGACCGGGCAGAACAAGCACACACGCCAAGTAGAAAGCTTCAGCTGCAAGATTCCTGGGGGTTCAGGTCTTTGATTTCGTCGTCCAAATGAGCAGCGATCTCATCTCCAGCGGACGTGGTGAGGAGGCAAGCCTCATGCCATGTGACGTGAGACAGGCCAAGGATGCACAGATTGAGTCGAGCAATCTTGGTGTACGTGAATTTGAAAATCATGTGCAACCAGGCCGTTAGGGGTGGGGATTGAGCAATTTCGCCTCTGAACTTTCGGCCCATCCTCACATTCGTTTGCGGTATGTCTTCCGGATTCACAAGCTGATGCGAGAAGATTCATGCTATTCATCCATGGCCAGTGTCGTGCTGTCTCGCCTGTGAGGCAACACAGCTTTGGCAGCGTTTAGCTTAGACCTGTGAGGAGAGTCAGGCTTTGCTTCTGCTTTTCAGGGCTTTGGCGTTGCGACTTGGAGATCAATTTGGGGGGAATCCTCTGAAGTGGTTTTTCGAACATCAATCCGCAAGCAATGTCCGCCTTGCAGAGCCCACCGTTGAGCGTTTGAGCGCGCTGCAAGGGCGATCCGATTTGGAGCGCTGTCCAACAGCTACATGGCCTCAGCCTCGGAACTGCAGAACTGCCCGAGGCCGTTTGGGTCACATGGCACTGGTGTCACTCTGATTCGGATGAGTTTCCACTCTATTCGTCCAACGGAAACCTCTCAAAATCGGGGCACCCCCAAAATGGTGGTTTCCTTTTGGTTCCCTTTCAAACCCGGGTGCCAGGTGTAACCTCAAACACACGCACCCACATAGAGGGCCTGGATGTGTCGCCCTCAGTGTGCCAGTTTGCATCTTTGGCCCAGGTGAGAGCGGCCCAGATCGAAATCATCCCGCGAATGACCTTGATTTGGTCCAAGGCGGAATTTGGCGAGAAACCTGACTGAGTCTGCTTGAAACAGAGAAAGGTTTGCAGTTTGCATGACTGCATCTTCAGCTTTGGTGCTTCTGGTGTAGGTGCTTCCTGTTTTAGTTTGTTTTAAGCATGTCCCACTCGGCAAGGACACGGACGCCCGAATGAGCTGAATGCCCTGTGCAGGTGCTCAATCGCAACGGAAATCACGCGTTGCAGGCAGGACTAGTCTAGCTCATTGGCAACATCAGCTTGAAGCATGTCTTGATGATGCTCAGCATTGGTACAGTCTCCCTGTGATTGCAGAATCCACGGGCACCGTGCAGCACTTCATTTGATGAGGGTGCCATGCATTTGAGGGTATGATTTGCTGATGCCGATATCTTCCCTTTGTGAGAGAGAGAACACCACCTTTTGGGCCAATTTACAATGAGTGACACCCTGTGCCTTTTTTGCAACGGCGCCTTCTCCCTGCAAATCAACAGTCCGCAAAAAAGGAGGATCGGTCTCGACAACCTTGTTCTACGGCCATATAGCCTGCAAAGCCGGGTTTTGATTCCCCAAACCAGGCTTTGTATTTCACAACCCGTAAACAACCAGTACAAAGCCCGGAATTAACCCGTCATCTAACACAAAGTGTCCCAATTCTATTCGAAAACCATATTATTTGCCAGAACCTTCTTTTTCCCGTACAAGGAAAACAACGACGTGCGTGTGCATTTGGTGCCACTCCGCGAGGCGTTGATGTCTGAGCAATGCCTTTCAGAAGGATGGCCAATGCCTGCACCGCCGAATCCCCGCAAGCCCTTCAAGGAGCGAGTGAAGGGTCGGGTGAACTGTGTTGAACCGACAACCAAAAGTAAGACGTGTTACACAGGCGCACGGGGTTGTCCCAACCCTGCTGCCACAGGCGACCAGTGCTCAAAAGCAGACTGGTGTGAGTTTGGTTCGAATCTTTTATGAGTGACATCGATTTTCCAAAATGACACTTCCCTTTGGTCTTGTCGGTCCGTCACTTGTTCCCAGACCAATGAGTCAAAGCTTGTATCGAGCTAGGTCACCGGGGACTTGCCTCTCGTTTGCGATGGTTTCTTGGTCGCTTTTTGACCAAACCCTGCCGATCCCCAGTTGTCACTATAGCAGGTAGCCAGACATTTTGCTGCTGGTTTGTTACAGGGTGGTTCCCTTGGCTACCTACTACGCAGGGAAATGGAATCACTGGTTAAGCTTTGCAGGACATGACCTGCCGTCTCCTCAGATGGCTGTGCAAGCCATTGGTACTTACTGACCGGCGACCCAAAATCCCATTGGGCAACATTGGAGTTGACCAGCTGCGGCATTGGAGGCAGACAAGGATGGAGCCAGAGCCAAGTGGGAATGTGTCCAATTCAGGGATTTCTTGGTTTAATGAGTTTAATGTTCCTTCCACATTGTCACGGCACCCAGGGGGTCAGCGGAAATTGATTTTCCAGGTACCCTGGAGGTGCCTTTTGCTTGCAGGACGTGCAAGCCTCTACACAAAAGTCATATCTACCAAAGTGTCGCAAGTAGAATCCAAAGGGCGTTTGGAGGGTTGCAGATTTGACGCAACGCACTTAAGAGGCATGGAACTGAGAACTTGAGGCGTTGTTTCGCTTCAGGCGATATGTTGCACCCAACCCACAAAACCCCAATACTGCAAAAAGGACAAGTAACATCCTCGAAACCGAAGGTGTTTGCAACACAGAAGGCGATTGGCAAAAGTGAATTCCCCCAAAGAGACTAAGAAGGTGATTGCAAAACGGACTCTGTCCACCAAGCGTTCCACAGCGCCCTTCCCCCCGGGCCCCCCCCGGCCCCCCGCAGCCCCCCGTGTTCAACCGAGGTGCTGTCATGTACTCGGTGGACACGGATGCTCGAAACGACCAGGACGTGGAGCGCAACATCACAGCCGGCAGCTGAGGTCTTTGGACATTTGGGTGGCTGGTCTTTGTACGAATCCCAAGAGGAATGACTGTATTGGTAGTCCACTGTTGGTTTCGGGAAGACGATAAGGAGACTTGCCCGAGCCCTCTTGGGGAAAACCGTCAGTTTATATATGGTTTGGTAAAGTGTCCCATAGCGCCTGGTCAGTTCGGGAGGGTTGAATGAGCCAATTTGCAAAAAACACCAGGGGGCTTCATTATTTTTACGTATCTCCATGTTTTCAAATGTGACATTTGGCTCAGGTTGATCCGTTGGCCGTCGCTTAAAATCCTTGGACACCTGTGTTGCCTTTGTTCATCTTGTTTTGAAAGCAACACAGAAGGACTATCAAAAAAGAACGCCACGTGCCTTGTATTTGCACCAATCCATTGCCAAACTGTTCGGTCATGTCGATATGTCCATTTGTTCGGCAGCAAATACCTCAGACTGCGGTTTCAGCGGGGTTCAACTGCGCGCAACAACAAAAAAACCGGCCGTTGGGGTCGGCAGCGACGGAACGGTGGGCTTGAGGCGGCGACGTTGGTGGCGGAGGAGATCGAGTTCCTGGGAGGCCGAGTCTTCCTGGAGAACATCTTCGCAAGGCCGGATGGAAACGTTGGAGGTGCCGAATAGGCGTTCGAAACCAACCGCAGGAGAATGCCGACCATGAGTTCTCCCCTCATTGTATTACCAGGACTTACCAGGTCCTTGTACAGTGGGTTTTCAGAGTTTCCTGAACTTTTGGTGGCGGAGTGATATGTCAGGGGGAAATTTGGGCAGCGCTGGTGCCCCGGGAAAGGAGGCCAATAAGAAGCACTGGGAATCGCTGTTGAGCAAAAGCGTCTTGATGGGGCAGTCCTGGATTCTTTCCGTCGCTCTGACCTTGTGATTTGGTCTGAACCCTATCAACCAGTCAGGTTACAACTGGCGGCTTTGTTCAACCCAGAGCTTTCGGCCAGATACAAAAGGCTCAATGGGTTCCAGGCATGGGTTCAAGTCCTCGACGTCTCAACAAAGAGGACATGCTTTGTTGTGCACCCGTGCCATAGTTGTCCAGCATCCCTGTTGAACGCTTGATGGCCATTGGTTTGAAGACGCGAATCAACTGTTGCTTTTGTGTGTTGGAAACGTGACATCGTCAATTCATGGGGGTCTCGTGTCACGTTTAGACCCCTGGGCGGACGAGCCATCATGCTGCTCGCTGTCAAAGGGAAGAAAAGCGAAGAAAAGGAACAGCCAGCACCACTTGAAGGGTTCCCAATTTTCGGAGAGAACGTTTTATCTGAAAACTTGCCCGGAACAATTTTGTTTCTTCAACTCAGTTTCGGGCGCTGAGTTGGACATCCTCTCCGGCTGACCAGGTGGCTGTGATTTGGAATACTCCAAACTTCTAGTTTGCAAGGGGCCAAGCCCTTTCAATATGCGTCTATGCGTTGAACACGCGGAACTCTGCCTCGAAAATTGTTGATGAATCCCAGTAAATCCTCATGCGTCAAAAGACTTTTACTGGGAGTTGGCTGGGAGAGTTATCATTCCCATAGGGATCTTAGACAACCACGAGCAATTTTGACCATGGCACATCCACCAAAGAGTCCCCAATCAAAATTCATGTCAACGCATGCGGTTGGGTCACCCCGTCTCATTGGTGTGTGTGTGTGTGTGTGGGTGGGTGTGTGTGTGTGTGTGTGTGTGTTGGTCTGTGTTTGTGTGTGTGTGTGTGTTTGTGTTTGTGTTTGTGTTTGTGTTTGTGTTTGTGTTTGTGTTTGTGTTTGTGTTTGTGTTTGTGTTTGTGTTTGTGTTTGTGTGTGTGTGTGTGTTTGCGTTTGTCTGTGTGTCTGTGTTTGTCTGTGTTTGTCTGTGTTTGTCTGTGTTTGTCTGTGTTTGTCTATGATTGTGTTTGTGCCTCTGCCTCTGTCTTTGCCTGTGCCTGTGCCTCTTTGAGTGTGTGTGTGTGTAGCCGTTTGTTTGTCCATGTTTGCCCATGTCTGTGTGTGGGTGACTTGTTTTTGGGGGTACCCGGTTTGGGCTGCGTTTCAAGGGAACCACAAGGACAACAATGTGTGGGGATTCGCACCAACAGCCGGCAGTTGGCCTGACCTCATTTGCCAGGCCGCCCACAGTCCGTGACTGCCCCGATGGCAGTATCATCAACATGGATCAGGCAAATTTGGGCGTGTCTCCTTTGGCCACAAAAGGGAAACTCGCAATGGACACCCTGGATGGTTAGAGGAAACCAAAGGTGGCCCCTATAGATTGTATCTTTGTTATGTGACCATAATGATCTCAAACACCACAGGCAGGTCTTTGGGTGAAGTTATGGTCTATGCGTGAATTCGCGAGGGATTCTGTTGGGTTAGTGTATGAGAGAAGCGAATGTTTGCTTTGAAGGAAAGCGGAAGGGCACTGTTTGCCATGTCATGCCCCACCTGATCCAGCTACAGTAGGCCACTCGAGGAAACCATTTTGGGTGAACAGTTTGTCAAGCGCACGACTCTGTGGCCAATTTCCTCCAGGTCTGTTTGTCACATACGGAGCCCATTTCCCCGATCCTCAGAAGTCCAGTTTTCCAGGTTCCCGGCGACCCTTTTCGTCGCGTTCCAATTCTCTGTTGCCCAGTGGTGCCCGTTTTTCCTTTTTTTGGGAAAGCGTTCCCCTTTAAACTCAACCAACAACAAAAAGGGTGCTCCTTTTCCCATGGCCACTGGGCATCTGCGAATTTGTTGGTGGGTTCGGGACTCCAACTTCGTTTCAGGTGGACGTCGCCTTCGTGCTGGCGCCCTGGACCCCCTCGGAGAAGCGCATCGCGCGGCTCATCCACTTCGTGGACCAAGGCAGTGCTCACAGCCCTTTGTCGTTTTTTCCTGGTGTGAAACCCATTGGTTCCACAACCTCCTTGGGCCAACCCCGTTATACCCCGTTAAAAATATGGGGCCAACCTCCATGGGGGGGCTGTGTAATCCGTTGGTTTGAGTGCAAGTTGGCCCAACGAGGGTATGGGTGGAACCCTGCGCCATGGAACGCAGGGGGGGTCTCTCTTTTTTGGAGCGGCACTTCCCCGGAGCCCTTTGGCAGTTTGCACCAGCACCTTTTAAACCATGAAGCTCCTTTTGGGGTGGTGTTGTCAGGGAAAATGTAGGGCATCTAGGTTGCTTGAGTCGCCATGCCACATGCGTCCTACAATAGGATACACATCCCAGAAGCAACTCTGCTCGCGTGGCACGCGGTGGATTTGATGACCGTTTGTGATGCCTTTGAAGCGACCCCCGTTTGGAAGCTCACCCATGTTGGCCCTTCGAATTGCTTGGTGTCACGTTTGTGTGCTGAAAATATCTCAGTTGTACAATGAGCGCACTTAACCTTTGGGGTGGACTGTGGGTTTCCTCCCGTCACCCGAACGTTCAGTTCGCAAATTGGGATCCCCCTTGGCAGGTTTTCTGTTTTCCCTCAACCAGGCGACGGCATGCTAGGGGAACTCAAACGCGTGCGTTTTACTTCAGGGATTTGTCTTGGGGTTGGGTTGTTTGAATGGGCCACAATCCAAGCCAAGTCTCCGGGTAGTGAAGTTTGTAGGGCACGGCCCAACCATAAATGGGTGTGGCCCGCCCTCTTGAATGTTTGCATGTTGTTGGGTAGAGCGGTTTGGATTGTTGCTTGGGAGCTGAATTCCAGTTCAAAGAAATGTCTCAAAGGGAAAGCAATTTTCCTCATGGACCCCCAGAGAGGTCAACCGCAGCTTCATGGTCCGTGCGACCATGTTAGCAGTTGCGACAGTTTCGTTGATTTGGTTTGGTTTGGTTTGGTTTGGTTGGTTTGTTTGTTTGTTTGTTTGTTTGTTTGTTGTTTGTGTATGTATGTGTTTGTTTGTTTGTTGTTTTGTTTTCTTGTTTCTTTGGCCTGTGTTTCTCCTCGGAGACAGAGCAGGTGGAGGTGCGGTCCTCCTCTCCTTCATTGGGGGCCTCAGCAAGGGCGCCCTTGCCTCAGCGATGGGTCCATAGGGAGGACACCAAGGCGCTGACAGGTTTCGAGGGGGCCTTTAGAAGGGTTCTGAGAACCTGTGGGGGGGGGGCCAATGTTTGGCCCTGAACACCCTCCCAGTAATTTACTGTATGATATAGTAATTATAGTAAGAAAGGGAACCACCCCTTTAAAGACCAAAGGAAACTGGCAGGTTGCCCAGTGCCTCTGTGGGATTCGTTTGATGCCAGTTCTGCCAGTGAGTTCCACCAGAAGGGTCACAGCTTTGATCTTCGAGCACTTGCTCGTGCAGCTTCCAGGACCTGCCTGGTGGCCATGGGGAAAACGTTTGTTTGTTTGTTCACTGACATTTTGGCAAGAGTGCCACGCGGTGTGCTTTGTTGAGGGTCCTTTTTGCGGTTTTTTTCGAACAGGAAAGCCACCCGTGTTGGGGGTTTCTTTGTTACCTTCCGAAATGGCTATGCTTTTCAATAGGAAACCACCCTGCAAGTGGTTCGTGGACATGAAATGTCCAGCAAAGGGTCCCGGACCCGTTAAATTTCACACCCAAATGGGTCGAGGTCTGGCGGGACTTGGAATACGAGCCGCTCATCACCGGCAAGGTGGCCGACAGCACGCCGTATGAGGCATTTGGGCGCGAGTTGCGTGCATGGAACGCCCGTAGTTTCCCCATGCTGGTCAGGGGGCCTTCTTCACTTTATTGATGCTTCTTCTGGACAGAATGATGGCTGAAGAGAACGGAGAACCAACCAATAGAATGTGACCCTTGACTCTTGTTTTGAGGCTTGAAAGGCACCCAAACTTGAAACAGTGAGGATGAAAACGGGTTTCAGGTGTGATTAGTGACGCCTGCCCCTGAGGACGTGTACCTGTCCAGCCCCAGCTTCGCATCCCTAGACATGGGAACATCAAAGCGAAGCCAGGCGCGGTGAATTTCAAGTGCGTTCGATTGCCTAGCCATATGGCTTGAATCATTGCTTCCCTGTCCCCAGAGTTTCAAGTGTCCGACTCGTTTTGACACATCGTGCTTGCAGGATACCTTGGGACCTCCCCGCATTCTTTGCGGAGTTGACTCCATCAACGGGCGGCCTGGCTCGTGCGACTGTTGCTTCCTATCCGCGGCACCGATCCCGTCTTTCCATCACGATTTCCCCAAACGCATAGACCCTCAACCCTCACTTTTGGGCAGCCCCGGTACCCCATTGGGACCGTATACTACAAAATGCATGTGCACTTACACTAGACCATCATCATAAAATTCAGTGGACGCACAAAATCCACCAGTTGGGCAGCTTGTTTGTCGCAAACATCTCTGGGATTTCTCCATTCTGATCCAAGCCTGGCTTGGATGTGATCCCAAGGCGCCGGCGCATCACCTCGACGCTCGTGGAGGGCGCCAAGGCGATGTTCGCTCGGGTTGATGCGACTAGTTTTTTTGTTGTTCCCCCGTTTGAGGGCAGGGCTTGTTTTGAGAGGCCGCAAACCTCCCGTGGTTGGAGTTACGGATTTCACAAACGTCACGTTTGCAAGGTCTCTCATGGAAGGCATGGCCGACGGCACGCAAGCATGGCCTGCGTAGCGGATGAAATATATTGTGTTCACTATTCAGGTCGGTTGGAGGCCTCCTACATGCAGGGGTTTGTGCGTTGGGCACTCAATCTTTAGGTCAATTGGTTTAACGGAACGTAAAGGGCAGTTACCGACGTGTGTTTCTCGAAGTGGGTGTTTAAGTGGAACCAAAAGGACAGGTGCACTTCTTTTTTTTGGGGGGGGTCTCATATTTTGATAAGCGCACACACACACACACACAAACGTATGCTTGTGAGTCAACCCAGCGGTTCTGGTGCCAGGTGTTGGCGAAGTGGAGCGACGGGCAGCCCTTGGTGGCGTTGTGCTCAGTGCCTCTTTCCACACCCGTGGTTTGGCAGGGGCAGCTCCATCTACCCTCAAGAAAAAACCAGTTGCAATGCCCAAACCACAAGTCCAAACCACTCGGGGGCAACCTCAGTGTTGCTTTCCAACACAGCGGCTGCCCGGTCCGTTTTCCTTGTTTTGCGATAGTTGGTGTGAGGCTATCTTGGTTTTCAGCACCACTTGGACGTCAAACGAATTGCAGGACGCTCTGAAGTTGGGCGACCTTGGAAGTATGCTTGGGTGCTAAAAGTGTAGGCCGCCTTTGGGTGTGCCAAGCAAGCGTACCTCCTTGATCCAAGATTTTTTTCCGCCAGTTGCCGCAGGACCAGGCCCATAGCACAAATGCGGCATGTTAATGGCTAGCGGCTGGATAGTGGTTATACACCCCATCTTTGCAAGGGGAGTGGCAAGTTGGGGGCGGACACGCTCTCCTTTTGTGGAACCTTGTTGTCGGTTGGCTCTAGGCAAACATCAGCATTTCGGGTAGAAGTCCCCATTCTGCAGCATTAAACCTTGCAAAACCAAAAGCTACAGGAGATGCTTTCCACATGACTCTATGTGTTTGCCAACAGGGGAGTCCAAAAGAATCTCCACTAATTGCCCCCAAATCACAGTCTTGAAGGGGAAATGGGATCTACAACCACTCTTTCGCCGCTATGTAAAAGGAATATCGATGTGTCAATGTCCGAGGACACCAGCAAGTCCTGCCGGAACTTCTAGCTTCGGTTTCGAGGGAGCGGTTTTGGGCCCCTTGACTTCGCCTTTCGCGAGGTCCAGCACCCCGAGAAGAACGTGTTCTCCATCTCTCAGCGGGCCAAAGCCCTGGCAAGCCACACCCGACCCTCCGGCCCCTCCAGTCCCCCGAAAGTGAGGAATCACCAAAAGTGGGAATCCCGTTTGGAGTAGCTTGGTTGCATGGATCAACCAGATTGAGGGGTCAGTCGCAATTATGATCTACCCTCTCCGGTTGGTTTCCTTCTGGCTTCTCTTAAGTATTCCACAAAGGGGTGGCTCTGATCTGAGACATGCTTAGCTTCACTGGGCTTCTGTTTTGTTTTTAGTAGGGGGGCTGCAAAGAACAAGCCTTCAACTAGCATACCAAGGGGAGGCTTAATGTGAAGAAAATCCTTCAGGGGATGCCTCAAGCAGTCCAGGGTGGCTTGTTGCCATGCTTGCATGGGCGAAGCTTCAGCTTCCTTTTGTGTCAATCCTTTGAGCCCCCTTTGCAGGACTCCTGCGCCTAATATTTATGTTTTATTTCGCAGGGACAATGTCAGGAGCACTGCATTGGTTTGATTCCTTCCCGCCCGCCATGGCCACCATGGGCGTGGCTCTAGTGATGGGTAAGTGCCAAACCTCCCGGCAGTTCAAGTCCCAGGGGGCCGAAACAAGGAGCCATCGCAGCGGAATACTTGGGAAATCAGGGCAAACAAGGGAACAAGACAAATGGATTGATCAAAATAGATCAAATCGTGGGGTCAGCTCTTGAGCCAGAGACGGGTGTGTCGAAGAGTGTTTCTTGCAAAAGGACTGTTCGTCAGGATATGTCAGGATGTCTCTGAATGTGCGTCCAATACTTGGCGCAGTTTCAGTGGTGCTGTTGTTTTCGGTTTTTGCGTGTGTGCTCAGAACTGTAGGGATGTCAACCACAAGTGCTTGCCAGTTTGTTGAGGTAAGCCGGATCTTCGAGCTAGACGACGACCTTGGTCCGCTCCTAAGCGTGCTGAAAGACGGAGGCAAATGCAAGATTTGAGTCTGAGTGAGGCTCGGTCTGTCTGCAAAAGCGGGCAAATCGGTTTGAAGGGTTTTGAAGGCAACCAAACGGACCCTCATGCCCAAGAATCACACGAACCCGAGACAAACCAATACCCAGAGGCCATGATGATACGCTCCAGCTGGTGCTGAACGTCATGGTGCAGGTTGGTGTTTTTGTTTGAGCTACGGGTGTGGAAAACAAGGGGACAAAATCGTGCACCAGATGGGGATGGATAAAATCCAACAAATGGTGGGATAAACCAGCTACGAACTGGTGCGAAGTGGATTTTGTCCATCCACAGGACCACTTGCTATGATACCAAGGTGAGAAAGTAGTACTGGAAATGAACCACTTTGGTATCACAAAGGGATTTCCCACATTGCGCCCCCTGCAATGGACGCCTCTCAGCCGGGATAAAAGATTGGAGGTTTTGTATTTGTTCACATTCTGGGTCTTTGCTCCAAGCAACCCTCAATGGAATTGGGTGTATATAGAGATACTGATGTATATATGCATACAGAGAGATGAGAGAGAGATGCACATGTGTCAAGATAAGAAGTGCACCATTTCAATTTGCAAGGACACGTTCCTTAACTTGTTTTGCAGGTCGAAAACACTGCAATCTGATACGGAGGGAACAAATGATTCCCATAGAAGCTTTGTGGCATGACAGACCAAAGTTGCTGAATCATCAATTTGCAGGGCCTGAGCCAGCTCTTTAGCCGTCATGCCAAATCCAACCAGTTGCCCTGGACCTGCCAAAGTCTACTTAGTGTCCTACACTTGTGGTGAAAAGTTGCGACAGTCGAGCGCGAGCTGCCAAAGTGCACTTCATCAGTTGCACCCCAGGAGAAGCGCCAGAACGCTGCAATCAATACGTTGGACATGGGGAACCCGATACCAACCGCCAGGGTGTAAGGTTACAAGGTCTATATTTGTTTTCATCCATAGTCACGAAAGCATGGCGAAGGGTTCTTCCGTTGGGTTCATGGGAGTTATCATCATGAGAGTCATTGCAAAGAGTTATCATCATCAGAGTCATTGCGCAGAGTCATCATCATCATGAGAGTCATTGCGCAGAGACATAGCACAGAGTCATTGCACAGAGTCATTGCACAGAGCCATGGCACAGAGTCATTGCACAGAGTCATTTGCACAGAGCCATTACACAGAGTCATTGCACAGAGAGTCACTTGCGAGGCGCAATGCTCGTGAGAGTCACTGGCGAGGAGCAACACTCGTGAGAGTCACTGGCGAGGAGCAATGCGCATGAGAGTCACTTGCAAAGAGCAATCCTCGTGGAGTCACTGCCGAGGAGCCATACACATGAGAGCTCTCATGAGAGGAGTTTTAAATTCCTTTCTTCTCTTCTTAGGGCGGCGGGGTAGGGCCGACAGCACTCTACGAAAACCAACCCTCTGCGGGGATCAGCGTGGTCAAACTGAGGACATTTTACGATTTCTGCGGTGTGCGCGCGACCCTCTGCGGAGATCGGCGTGGTCGATGTTAAAAACTGAGGACTTTTTGCAATTTCTGCGGCGCGCGCGCGCGACCGTCTGCGGAGAGAGGGCTTTTTACGATTTTTAACATGCCCGAGCGACCCTCTGCGGAGATCGGCGTGGTCGAAGCGCTATCGCTGCGGCGCCGTGCAAATTTGCAAAGTGCCCGATGAAACCTCTGCGGGGATCGTGCGTGTCGAAACGCTCTTGCTGCTTGGATCGGCTGTTGGCCTAGTAGAGGTTAACATGTGTTAACATGGTAAGGGAGGCAGTTGTAAGCAGTTATAAGGAGTTGGCTAGTGCAGTAGCTAAATGGTTAGCTAGGGTTAGCAAATGCAAAGTCGAGGAGAAAACCATTAAACATATTGTTGGCGGCCTACTATGTTCTTCCTCACGCTTGAAGAAAAAAGTGCCCTCGGTTACATGTCAAGTCTCGTAGGCAGAACACAAATGCACATTCTGGGCGCTATGCTCTTGCCAGCCGTTGTTTGGGGAATCAGTGCGCGGCATGAGCCCATGCAGGGGGGGCTGAATGCGTTGAAGCAAAACGATGGTGTTTTTTCACAGCCAATGCAGAACATGTTTCTCCAAACTATGGCCCTGAGCCCATGGCGGGCTTAATGCTTGGCTCCATGACAACATTGATGTGACAAGGCGCATTGTGAAATCAAACACATGTTTTGCACCATGAGCCCCAAGGGCTATGCACGCAAGGCTCAGCAGAGCGTGCGCAAAAGCCGTTTTTTCACCCTTGCCTGCAGAATCTATGTGGTCTAAAATGCCACGGGATCAGGACCTTGAAGCCTTGCTTGCTTCGGCAGTGGCACACAGGAGTCAAAAAAGACTGAAGCGGGCACAAGCTGCTTGCACTCCAAACAATCGACTGTAGCTGAGCAAGTTTCTGTGTCATATTTCAGTAATTTACATAGAGCCATTATTGAACGCACAGAATTGCCAACTTGAAGATGGCAAACTACCTGGGCAACTTCCCAAAGCTCATTGGGTAAGTTGCTTTCCAGCAGCACAAAGTGTTTGGGCTTGCAAGACACACCAGACACGAGCTTGGCTTCCTAACCAGTGAGAATGCTGCCTTGTGGCCAAGTCTGCCCCAAGCACGAGCAGAAGTAAGCATGCAGCTTTGCTCCTGCAGGCGAAAGCTTCACCAAACACACGCCTTGCTTAGAAAGGTCACTGTTCTGCAGCGCACACAAGTCATGAGAAAGGCATTCCTCAAGCACAGATCGCTCATATACCTTGAGGTTGGTGGTGGCGGTGGCAAACCTGCTCACCACTTTGTGCTTGCGCTCCATGGCCCAGCACGAAGGCAAGAAGTTCCACTGGCGAAGCTTTGGCGGGGCATGTGTCAGCCAATGAAATTCTTTAATCATGTGACTTCTGTAGCCGGCGTCAACACATGCCTGCAAAGCCGACTCCACAGCTTGGAGCAAGGCATCAGGCGACACCATACCACTTGGAGTTGCTTGCAGCATCTCCAGGACGGCTGTCATTAGCAGAAAGGCGCAGGAGTGCAAGTGGTATTCACCAATGCTGGCAAAGGCAGAACAATTTTGCTTGCAAGGCATCGACCTTAGAGCTTCTCACCATGCCCATGATCATCCAAGAATCTTCCGAGCTCAAGCGCTGCCTGAACTGAGCAAAGCTGGCGTATATCACCCAGGGTTTTCTCTCCTGAGCTAAGGATGGAAACAGGTCGCAGACAGAATGACTGGAATATTTTTTCAGCCACAACTACTCAATAAAAGACATGAGCAAAATCTTGCAGCCAGCCGGATGGTGTGATTAAACGTTGCAACTTACAACTTTTACATGAGCCTACCCAGGCTGCGCTCGCATGAGCCTCTATGCCAGGCTGGCAACTTGCAAGGCCAAATAACAGCACACATGTTTGTGGCTGACATGAACATGTGAGATGCTACCAATACTTTGGAATGAGAACACCATGCCAAAAAAACGTGAGTTCCTGCCACCAAAAAATGCTAGTTTGTGGGAGGAAGATGAGATTGACCCACCTCCTGACGAAGGGGACCACGCTGTTTCTCAGGGAGAGGATGGGCGATTTGCGGCCGCGAAGATTGGCTCGCATGCTTGCCGCTGTTCGGACCAAAGAGAAAGAAGCACGCTTGGCGACCCCTGCTCGAGTCGCTGAACAGGAACGAAGACTTTGCGTCATGTCAGCATTGCCTTCCGTGACTGTCCTAGCGTGAGCGTGCGTGCGCGCTTGACTCCGTGCCGGCTCTAGCCTGCAGCGCGTACTGAAACGGGCGGGTGGCCTCGTCGAAAAGCGACGCAAACCGTCGCGCCGGGGTTCGGGACACAAGACGCCTCAGCACGTCCCCCGTGGCAATGCCACGGACTCCCCCAGCTGGCTTCTGGGGGCCGTCAAGCGCGCAAGGGCCAGCGCGTCCAACACTTCCGACGGGACAGCCGCAGCGGCTAGCTGGGACGCCGTGTGCGTGAGTAGCTCGAGGCTGGTTTCGTCATCGAGCAGCAGGCGGTAATGTTCCGCTGTGGCTCCGCTGAGGCCTGCCGCGGCGCCACGGCGAGTGCTTCTCAAGGCATCAGGCGGCCGGCGCGCAGGATCCGTCAAGGCCGCGAGCGCAGCGGCATTGCCAGGGGCGAGCTCCGCGGCGGTCAGGGGCTTCCCGGCTTGCCAAGACATCCGTGACGGCCCGGGCCCGGCCCGCCGGCCGAGAAGCGCGGGCCGCTGCAAGCAACGAGCTCCACCGGCCCGCCAGGAAGTCGGAGACTCTTTGTTGCAAGCTCACCTTTCCCACTGCCCCTGTATCCGCGCAGCGCGCAAACAGCAGGCGGGCGCGGCGCGCGCCGATTGTCAAAAACCGCGGGATGCTGCGCAAGGTCGGCACCGGCGTTGCAAACTCCTCAGCCAAATTGACATCGTCCAGCCAAATCCAAGAAGATTCGGGCACCGAAGGTCCCGCAGGCCCCGCCGTCGGCCCGAGCAAGGAATCGCTGTCGGACTCGCTCGCCGCCGGCGGCGGCGGAGTGGGAGCACGAGAGCGCACAATGGAGTCGTCGGACTGTGCGCCCTCATCTTGCGCGACCGCCACGCCCGACCCGTGGGGAGCCGCCGCGGCCGCGGGCCGGCGTGGGGGCTCCGTGGAAGGCTCGGCCGCGGGCGAGCCGGCGCGCAAGCCTGGGACCGTCTGCGCTGCGTGCGCCGGCGCTGGCACGGTGGCTAGTGGGCGCGGGCTGGGAGGCAACGCCATCCCTGCATCGTCGCGGAAACCGCAGGACGACTTTTTTGCCACAAACGGCACAGCACGGGCTGAGAATGCTTTTGATGATGCGCTTACCAAGCTGAGAAGCAGTTTCGTTACGCTTGTCAACGGCTTGGCGAAGTTCATCTGTCCTTGCTTTTGATAGCGTAGTTGCACAAGTGGTGGATCCCCTTTTATCTGCAAGAGTGGAATCGTAGGGCATTGATTGTTGGCAAAACGAAGCCCGTGGTATCTGTGCACTGAGACTTTGCAAAAGCGACAAGTGGGCTTGTCGGCATTCCGCCCTTCTTTCTACAGTTTGCTTTAGCTCGTGCAACTGCGTCGTCGCTTGCTGTGTGTCCTTTCCAGCACGTTTGGCTCCTCTGCTCAAGGGCGTTGTTCTCATCGATTTCTTGGAAGAGTTGTTGAACCCGCTAGTGGTGAAAGGTCCAAAGCTCTGCCTTTTTTCCCTTGAACGGGATGACCGCTTTGTAGAGGCCGGTTTTTATGTTGTTCTGGACGAAGGGAAAATTTGGACCGCCGGGTGCGACCCCTGACGAGCCGGACATCAACGAGGTGGACACTCAAGGAGAAAAGCGCCTCGTCACTTGCCACCAAGAGGTGTTTCCTTATCCAGCCATTGAGAGTGCCAAGCCTTTCGCGGTGGAGGCGTCACTTCAAGAGCTGCCACCTCAACATGGCGGATGGCGCTCCGCGTGTTGGTTGGCCGCGTGCTGCAGGACTATGACACGGACATGATGACCTTGCACGTGGAATGGATGGCTCGAGCGCCTGAAAATGTGGCTCGGACTTTCACGGAAGAGAAGGACATGGTCTGGAGCCTGCTCGACGCTCAGCCGGAGGTCGCGAGCAACAAGCGAGCGGCGGGCTTCTTGGTACAGGAAACGCCTTCGAAAGTGGTGTGCTCCTCCTGGTGTAGCTAATGGATGTTTGTAGCTGAGAGACTGCGCTCCTTGACGGACGCTGTCGTGCCGAACTCCGAGGGCTGCCGACTGCCCGCCGCTGCGTCCGGGAAACGACTGTGTTTGCGTGTCTATAGCTGGCTTGATTTGAGCTGAGTCCGTAAAACAAGCAAAGGTTGTAGGCAGTTGCTGTGAGTCAAGCACTTGCGAATGACTGTCTGTTTTTGCACGTCTGTTAGCTTGCTTCTCGCTTGGAGAAGTACTGGACCCCCCGCCCCCCGCCACGATGAGGCCAGCGCCCCAACCCCAAAGTTTGTGCCATGACAGCACGACACAGCCCGCAGAGCTTTGCAGCAGTCTTCACTCTCTGTCTGTCTTCTGTCTGTCTGTCCGTCTGTCGCCTTGCAAGCACATTCATTTACATTGCACGCGACAGATGGCTCGAGCGCTTGATAATCGGGCTCGGACTGTCGCGCTCGCGGAAGAGAAGGACATGGTCTGGGGCCTGCTCGCCGCGAAGCGAAAGTGAAGTGCTCCTCTTGTTCCAGAGTAGAGGAAACGCCTTCGAAAGTGAAGTGCTCCTCTTGCTGTAGCTGATGTTTGTAGTTGCCCGATTGCACATCAAGCAAAAACTTGCGCGGGAATGATCACGGGGCTGTGATGCTTTCGGGCCAACCGTGGTCAAGCACTGTATGTTTTTTTAAATCAGTTTCCGCCAGCACGTCCTGAAGTTGAAGCGAAATGTGGCAGAAAAATGGGGGGGACTCTGGATATGCCAGACTGTGAAATCTTGGGACCCTGGATGTTGCGGATTTTGGCACCGTGATTGCAGTGCTCCAGGCTGGGAAAGAGTCAAAGCGTCTGCGCGGCCTTCGACGTCAGACTCTCAGCCATGGCCTTTTTCAAACGGTTAAGTCTTGCTGCTGCTGAGCAGGGAAAGTGGGAATGAACCCAGGGGTCCCCTTAAAGGAAACCACAAGGGATGGTTTATAAGGTTCATTCCTTGATTCCTTGCTGAGCACCAGCAAGAAAATGTGTTTAAGCCGGCACACATGCATGCTGCCTGCCTGTAAGGAATGTCCGTCCCTTCTCGACAAGGCGCTGGCCTGTGGGGCAGGAGCAGCACAAGTTTGCAAGAAGCTGGCAGGTCATGTGGGCAATAGTCAGTGGCAATCACCAGTTGTTAGAAAGGGAGACGCTCAATGCCACCAAACGGAAGTTACGAGCCAGCCCCCCCCACAAGCAGCCCTGCTCCAATTTCCATGTCACACGGAGAATTGACCATGGCTCTCATGCGGTTGTGGTGTTTGCACATTCTGCTGATTGATCAAAATCAGGCAGCTCTTGAGGCAGCTGTCCCATGAGCCTTGCAGGTCATTCGGATCCCGTGCTGACTGGCGGCGTGAACGTGTCCTTGTGAGACATCAACGCTGTCCTCTGCCCCCGCAGAATACCTGATACAATACCTGACACCTGCCTGAGTGCAGGCATGGGGTGTCAGGAATCGAGCACAAGCACTGCCCAGAAGCGGCCGCCGTGTCGTGGACACGGACGACGCTGTTTCATCGTGTGCCTATCTCTTGTCTGTGCCTACGCCTGTAAAGGCTTAAACTGATAGAAAGTTCCTCAGATTTCACTCGTTGGGCGAAAGGTCCAACTTGTAGTGAGCGGCAGGATGAAAAATGCCAGCCACAAGGGCTTGGTGTTAAAGCCAAGCTCTCTGAAGCACCCTGGAAGTTTCCCGCCGTTTCGGCACAGTCCAAAGTATAGAGAGACGCACACAGGCGGCTTGCAGCCCCCAGTCACCCTGAGGCGGTGAAAAAGTTTGACTCGCTTTGGGGCTTGCGCAATTGGCACGTGACCTCTCAATGTGACATATCCCAGATTCCGGTCGGAGGGCTAATCTTGACCCAGGATCCATCAACACCTTGTGTACCAGCTTAGAGAGACACCTTCACGCTTGATCAAGGGCAACAGCCTGGTAAATCCGTCGAGATTGTGAGCAGATGGCCCCAGAAGGCACCGGTCTTGCTATCCCGAATCCCGCACGAGCCGGCGCAGGCAATAGTGGAAACCTGGATTGCGGCAAGGCGGGAGATGAATCATGCCAAAAGCTAGGGGGCACAAATCTCGAGCAGTGTTTTGCGAGCTGAAAGCAGGGAACTGATGGCTGCGGAGGGTGTGTTGTCGGGCAGCTGCGAGCCCTTTTGCGTAGACCCTTTGAACACTTCGATCTCATGCAGCGCAACGCTCTCGTTCATTCTCGTTCCAAAAGGCCGAGCTGGGGGGACCTGAGCGATTTGCCAGGGCCGACTTCTTTATCGGCACCATCGAGTCCAGGAGGGGGTTGGGTTTTGTCGTTTCGTGAAAAGATTGCCAGATTTATGGGCACTTCCTGCAGGAAAACGGGTGGCTTTTGAAAAGAACGATGATTGAAACAATCGTGGAATTACCCCCGCACAAACATAGGACCTGTTGTGGAGTCTGATTTGTGCTGCCTTCAGCATCCCTCAGGCAGAAACCCCTTTAGCAACCCATGAGGATTCATGACCAAAGGACTTAAAAGCAACTTCGCACAACTCAGTCGACCTTGGAATACAGGGCATTTGCCTTTGAGGGGATTCCCCCAAGACTCGAAAAGAGTTTGCATCGAGGATGTTGGACAGCAAGGTGTGTTTGAGTGTTTCTCAAAAGGGGATCGCAGAAATGCTCGTCTGCCCTTGGGTTTTCCCTTAGAACAACCCCAAAAGAGCACCCTCCAAAACAGAAACGCCTGTTTGAGGTTCGGTCAAAATGTCCAGTACTCTATCATCCACCTGAGAGCCACAGTGCGGGGCTCACTACATGTCCCACAAAAAAACCAGGGACTTACTCAGCTTCTCGTGTCCGTTAGGGGAAGCGTTGTGTAAGTTTGAGCGTGGCTCAGTTGGGTATGGGTCAAAATTAAACCACCAGGGGACCGCAGGTTTCTGTTCTTGTTCCATTTACCAGGGCTCCATTCAGGGTACCTATTTTTGACCCACTGCCAGTTGGCCGCTTTGGGCGTCGGGCAGCATGGCCAGGTTCACCATGTCGATCCAACTGGAGCGCAGCTTCCTCGGGAAGCTGCAAGCATCATCTCAGCAGGACTGCGGTCGACGCCCAATTTTTACGGGCCCCGGGTTGGGATTAATTTCCCTGTGGATCGTTGTGCAAGTGCCAAGAGGGCGGTTCCCGAACATGTTACAATGGTTTGCCGTTTGATCGATTTGGCACTTGAAAAATGCTACTACCTTTGTAAAAAGCAAGCTTCAGGAAAGTACCCATGAAGTTAGCCAAGCACCCGCAAGGAGGGCTTGCGTTATTTTTATGCGTTGCCTGGTTTCGCTGGTTGTGTTGGGCGTTTGAAAGGCAGGTGGGAAGGAAAATGTCTGTGCCCTGCGCTCCTCGCTGGCGCCAGGAGTTCTGCAAGGAGTATAAGGCCGGCGCCAAGCCGTGCCTGGCGCCATCGTGACCTGGGTCGCAGGGAAAAGGAATTTCTTGATTTAACGATAAAAGTAATAAAACAAAAAAGCATAATATACATATATATATATATACACAGTCGACATACCTTCAGGCAGCTACGTTCGCCGTTGCTCAACCACGACCAGTCACGCGGGGAGTGGGGGGGTGGGGGCTGGTTGGGGTAGTAGCGTACGTGGTCCACTCCGCCTGATTTCAAGGAATCCTCCCCATGGAACCATGGGCGTCCGGCAACAAGATCAAGGACTTTTCGTCGGAAATTAGTCTTTTGGTTTCAACTGCGGCGTCCACCGTAGGAACGAGCCACTTGAGCAAAATGGGCCAACATGCCTGCCAGCACACTCTTGAAACGAAAGCATTGATTTCAGCATGGACACTTCCTGGCTAAGTTCGCTATCTGGGCATGCTTAAATCCGTTGGAGGCAAATAGGTGGGTTTCAAGCTGGGTGGCTAACCCTTGCTAGCTTGGCCGAACAGTCATTCCCTCCTCCCGTGCATGGGTGAGGTACCGCCACATCCCCCGCCGCGGGGCGCACCGGGAGATGTACTCGTGAGCAGGGCTAAGGGGCGCACCGGGTTTCAGGGCCTCACTGAAGCTGGGGTCCTGAAGCTTGAGGTGTGACAGTCACGCCTTGCGCATAGAGGGTTCCCCTGTGTCCCGCGGATTTGCGTTTGCCGGTTGGGTCGAAAAGTTCCGTTTGTCAAAGAATGTTCATGCGATCGTCTGCGGGAGGTTCACGAACGTAGCTAGGTGCACGAATTCGATCGGCTCGCTTCAAAATGTGCCCAAGTGCGACCGCCGGTTGGGGATATTTTGCAGCCACACGGAATCAACGAGCACCTTGAAAGGTTTCTGGAAACGGGACGTGTCCTTTGCTTGCTTGGGTTACACCCCCTTTTTTGGAAGAAAGCTTTGGAGATATGTTTCGTTTTTCCTACCGCAAGACACGAGGCAACCCCTTCCAAAAGCAACAAGATATTGGCTTCGGATGTGGCATGAGTTTGTGTTTGATTTCCGGCACCCAGCTTTGCCAGAAGCTTTTGCCGTATGCTGGCCGACTTTTCCTGTGTTTCAGGCCATGTTGGTCTCCGCACCTCGATTTCATTTGCGCGCCTCCCAACCTCCTTCTAATTACTGACATCCCTTTCCGGCCCAACACCCAAAACCGTAGTTTCAAACAACAAGGTTTGACAAGCTCGCAAAGGGCACCCCCCTTCCTTCAAGGGCTAGCCCCCCCGAACACAACACCTGGAAAATCAAATGCAATTTCCTTTTGCTTTCCTACGGCAGCTCTATTGGCCAGCGCTCCAAAATCTGGAGTTCCGGGACCTTGTCCTGAGGGGGGGGGGGGTTGTTAATAATGTAATGTGTGGACATGAGGCGCTGTTTGGGTGCCATATCAATCACTGGAACAATGTTCCAACACAAGGACATAGTGGAAGGGAGGTTTGGGGTTGGTGAAGAGAAAAGTGAAGCCTTACCTTTCCCTCCCCGAAAACTTTGTTTTTTGTTTTACAACATGACGGTGTCAACAAAAACGGGCTTGCTCGAAGCCTCCAAAGTATATCCAAACTAGATAATAAAAATGGTATTGCGATCCTTCTGCTTCCGGTGTCTACCCCTGTGACAGGACCTTTGGAGCAGCCCCAACAGCGCTGCTTGAAAAGTTGGGGGGCTGGAGCTGGTGTCTCGTAGATTCTTTTTGCTTGCCTTCTCAAGGGTGTCACACAGTGTGTGGTGGGGGGTCGGAGGACATGGAGAGGGTAAAGTTGCTTGATCACGCAAATCCCATGCCGCATGTCGCATAGATGTGATGGCCGCTGTTGCAATTAGGCTCGCGGAACTTCATAGCCGTTGCTTCACTTCCCAGTATCCAGCACAGTCACTAGCCGCAGTCGTACGCAGACCTGAGCCCAGCCCCACGCCACGAACACGTTCGCACGTTTTCCGGAGCCATGGCTTCCGCCAACTTCGAGGAGCCGTGAAGCAAATGTGCGGCGCTGAGCGGGGGGGCTCCGGAGCCTTTTTCCATTCACCACAGGCACCCAATTGTATGTGGATTCCTCGCCATTCTCTGGGCGGGTCCTTGGCCCCAGGTGGCTCTTCTCGCTGGGCTGCAAACGGCGGTGCCGGGTGTTGGGAGCTTGGAGCGCTTTCAGTTGATCGATGATATCTCGATTGGTCCAAAGACCTGCTCAACGGGGCACCCCAGATGGATAAACCACTGGTGGATTGGAGGGGGGAACACTCCCCCCGAGAAGGGGCTATTAATCCGGGCTCAACATTACTTGGAAACTCAGGATTGATGGCCCCCGGACTCGATTGAGAAGGGGGTGTAGGCTTGCATTTGGGTTTAGAGTGTGGGTTGAGGGCACCTTGAGGTTTGGTTGAGTTGAGCTGTGTTTTCTTGTTGTTGTAGTCAAGGAGCCGACACTATGCTAAGTTGTTTGAGCAGATTCCTCCGCAGAAAGCCGGGCAAAACTAGCTAACTAAGTAACTAACACACACACACACAGGGCCAGGGCCAGAGCTAAAGATAGAACAACGACAAGGCAAATTGCAACCTTGTGCAAAAGCAGCCTCAGAGTCACTAAAGCTACACGGGACTTTGGCGGAAGCTTCGCGAAAGTCCACTCCCTCCCAGGCGGTGTGGGTTACAATGCGTTGGAAGCACGTGTGCGACGCTCGCCGACCCGCTCTAGAAGCCAACATGTGTGCGCGGGAAGCAACATAAAGGCACGTGAAAGCTTAACAACGCATGCGCGCCGAAGCCTGCGGACAATTTAGAGCACCGCTGATGAATTAATGACTTAGTAACCCATTCAATGGGTCGCCCGAGGGAGAGGTTTGCAATCCGGAGTCAACGTCGAGTTACTGAACTTGCCCATGGGAGTGCAACGCCATCAGCATGCTGC